ATATAGCTGGAGCATATAGTGTTTGTCATGTCCATCTTCTGTCTGCCTGTCTGTCCATCACACTTTATCCTGCCTCTGATAAAAATCTTGAAATTTCATTAGTCAAGAAGGATACTGTATTAAACCATATTATGCTGCCTATACTGACATTATATTGTTATTATGCCCCCTCCACGTGCCATACTGTCCAGATCATATTCAATATATGTTGTTTTCATTTGAACATGCAAGAAGCCTAACCAGGGTTCGACACTCACTTTTTAAGGCTTTAGTCCAGCCGGACTAGTGCTTCATTACTTTTACTAGTCCGCACACGATTTTATTAGTCCGTCAAAAAAAAATAAACATCAATGTTTTTTAACATTAATTGAACGTGACGATTAATATACATATTATTTTTTGAAATAAACAGATTATTTACGTGAAATATATTATTCCACAGATTCATTGAAATCTCGCAATCAGCAAGTACGATCGTATTCCCGATCTCTTTTTTTTTTTTTTTTTTTTAGTCTTTACATTACATCCAAAATGTCCAACATCTTTCTTAAAAGTGTCATAAATCATGATCGCTAAAACCTTATACTTCATATCGATCAGTCAAAAAATTAAGCGCTGAATTGACCCGGCATTGCGTAACTACCCGCCAAAAGCTAGAAATCTAAAAATACACGCGGGGTTTCCAGTAAAAGTTGTCGACTGACAAGAATCGGACATCGGTAATTTATTCATATTGTTTTTCAGAAATTTTTATTGGTCCGTTCGGACTAATTAGCCACATATTTTATTAGTCCGAATGAAAATGTATTAGTCTGAGACGAACGGACTGACGTTAGTGTCGAACCCTGCTAACAGACGTCACATAAGCATTAGGGCTGTCATGGTTCAAAAATTTTTCGGGTCGGGTCGGTTCTGTAAATTTTCAGTTTCGGGTTTTTCGGTTCGGTTATTTACATCTAATTTTAAACCTTAATTTCATGAATTTAACTTGAAAAATCTTTATTTGTTACATTAAATTTACATTGAAAACAAGTCTTAACCATGTGAACGTCTAGACATCGTTGTGTGTAGAACTACTTGGCCTACTATTAGCCACAACCTGACCATTCCTGCTCGTTTTGATAATTATCTAATACTTCTAATACAAGTGTTTTGTCATGGAATGAAGTAGATTTTAGTTGTGATGTTTATTTATCACTGTTATTGTCATCATTCCTTTGATTTCGACACCATTTTTTGTACTGAACAGACTCTAATATATAAACCAGACCCAAACCGAAATCCGGAAAAATGGAACCGAAACCAAACCGAACAACTTGGACTGCGGTTCTCGGTTATTTCCGGTACTCGTGACAATGATGTCACAATGTAAACAATTGTTAAGGAATGGTTTGCTTACTCAGAGAAAGTGAACTTTATTAAAAAATCTTCAACAGGATAAATTTGTTATGCAAACACTTAGAGGGGTGATACATAGAGCTATTCAACTATTTCTTTTTATTTTCTGACCTTGATTTTCTGTATGATCTTGACCTCCCTATTCATCATGTGTTTAGCTCAGTTTCAAAGAAACAATTTGAAGATATTTTCATCAAACTTCATTCACTGATACAATTGGTAAGAGCTATTCATCTGTGTCGTAAAATTCTGACTTTGATCTTTCTTATGACCTTGGCCTTGCTAGTCTTCATTTTACATTTAGCTTGGTTTCAGTGAAGTTATTCAAGATATTTTCATCAAACTTCATGCATTGGTACAAATTCTTGAGAGCTATATTGAACTTTGTCTGAATCTGAATTTCTGATCTTGGTCTTCCCTATGACCTTGGACTCACTATTCCTTGTTTTGAGTTAGCTGGGTTTGAAAGAAACCATTCAAAATATTTCCATCAAACCTCATTCACTGAGTGATACAAGTTGGTAAGAGCTATTCAACTGCTTCCCTCTATTTTTCTGACCTTGATCTTCCCTATGACCTTAATCTCCCTATTCCCCATTTTGTGCTTAGCTCATTTTCCAAAAAAAAAATATATATATTCAAAATATTCAAGATATTTTGATCAAACTTCACTGATGTAAATTGGTAAGAGCTTTTCAACTTCATCATTATTTTTTGACTTTGATCTTTCCTATGACCTTGACCTCACTTTTTCTCATTTTGCATTTAGCTCAGTTTCAAAGAAATTGTTCTAGAAGTTTTCATTGAACTTCATACATTGTTACTAATTGTAAAGAGCAATTCAACCTTTAACTTTCTTTTGACCTTGACCTTCCTATTAATTTACAACAATTTTATCCATTGACAAAGTTTAAATGAAATTGACCTGCAGATTTTCTTGTAATCAAGCTCACAAGTCCAGTCTCAAACACCCCATTAAGAAAAGTGTTAAAAGAAGTCATTAAAAAATGGCAATGATTGTGACTTTGATCTACATGAAAATGTCTGTCTGTACTTGCTATTTCATTTTCCATCAAGGCAAACAAAAATTAATTACACATATATAATTTTATAAATCATAATTAACTATTTCTTACAATTGAAGCACTGATTTATTAATTGTGTCACTGATTTTTCCAGCTTAAGTCTGCTTTTATAAGGAATGGCAATTGTGATGACTTGCAATTGTATTTAGCAGATAATTACCTTTTTTTCAGTGTAGAATTTACAAAATTACAAACAGAAATTCATTTCAAAATGATCACTATTGAACAAATTATCCAGTATATTAAGATATGTTGGTATTGTATTTAAGATTGTAATTAAGCCAGAGAGAACCACATGTACTGTCATTCATACATGTGATATGTACAGGCTGTACGCAAAATGTACAGTTTTTCGAGCCCATTCATCGTGTACAGGCGGGACACCAAAATTCACGGAATATGAAAATTTGTACAGTATTTTGAATTTCTCGCTAAATGCCGCCATTTTCCTCTCATTCTCGCTCGCGAGACACTGGAAAACGTCACCTGTGTTTGACCCTTGACCTGATGATCACAAACCATCGCGTGCGAAGGTGTGAACTGCCAATTGGGATAATTATCTTGCTATAAATCCATATCAAATACCCCTTTAGGTAGCTTTATTTTTAAGGGGTACTTAATTACTGTTATTGTTTCGTATACGTAACTTGATTGAAAAAATTAAGCCAACTTCTAAAGTTGATATGACTTAATATACGTGAATCTGACCCAGCTCTTCGTAGGTATAAAATATACGATGTTTATTACAATGATTACGCTGGAATTTCAGAAGAATTTAAGCGATATTTTATACCATTTTTTGTACCGTTTTTTGATAGGCAGTGTACAGTTTTTTCACCCAAATTCCAGTTTTTTTATGGCTCCTGTACAGTTTTGTGGTCTTTGATTTATCACATGTATGGTCATTCTCTTACTACATCTAGTCTTAGATTATTCAAATTGGGAAAATTGTTGGATTTTATAACATTGTAATTCATACATAACAATAAAAGATTTAAAGTTTCTGTGTGTTGAACTGTAACTAGTGACAGTGATGTGATCATGAAAAAGTAAATGACTTTAGAGTGTTTGCTGTTGTGTCGTATAAATGAGAACAGATTGAACATGTTATTTAGCAATGATAAATATGGATTGCTTGATTCAATATCTATAATTACTTATTCAAAAATACTCAATATTGAATTATTTCACACTGCAAAAGTATAACATTTGACATCACAGGTTAGGATGCTTCATGATCACTTTTGAAATATGCCTATTGTATGATGCAAAGGATGACTGTACTTAACACCTGTTTTGGGGTCTTTTTCGGTTGCTTCTGTTGCTTTTATGTCTAAACCTTAATTCACTTTTGTATGTTTATGACAGAATTCGGTCAATTTGGAGCCAATTTTAAATCTTAAAATGATTTTAGACTGTGATACAATAAAATGATTCAATGTTTTTTGTCCTTACTGCTTTCCAAATATAGTGAATTTACACTTACCTGCCCTTGATTGAACATTAGGTATGCATGAGAGGAGGAGCTAACATTGTAAGAATGGGTCTGAAATTAGACTTGATAAATAACAATGACATGTTTGAAAAAAAGAACATGATCACTCTTTCCAATCTCCCTCTCCATTCTGTATGGCACAAATACACTCCTGACAAAGGTTTCAAAACGAAATTAACAATATGAGCACGTCAATGTAATTAAAGCAGATTTTATATCATTGCCAGATGACTTCACGTGTTCGAACACAGTGTCCTAGTTAGCACTAAACATGCTACCTTACAAGTCACGTGACGGAATTTAGTATTCACAAAGTTACCTGAGGTAAGAAATCACGTGGTGAATTATAATATTCAACATGTCACAATCCTTGGTTACAACACAGAGAGCGAATATAAGAAGAAGCAGTTTTTTTCTCTTTTTAACCATGAGCGCATGTTTGTCTATTAATCTCCTTTTGACACTTTATTATTTATGCAAATATACAACTACTGTTAAACGTAGAGCAATAGACAAACATGCGCTGACTATGTATAAAGTCAGTAAAAAAGTGGGCGTCCTCATTATCGAACGGAGATTCCAAGAAATTGTGATGACCCCTGCGTTTGAAAACAGATTCGAACTTCGTAAATACACACTTTTATTAAATGTAATTAAATAAAGTTGTAGATTGGATGTTGACCATTCTTGCAATGAAAAGAAAAATGCTTGTTTTGAAAGTTTATTTTGTCGCAAATTTCACGTGTCCTTAAGTGCAGTCATCCTTTCAGGGTTAAAAAAATTTCACAGAATTAAAACTTGGTCATCAGTCAAATAATCATGAAGGGACAATAGTATAGTCCAGGTTTGAACAAAAATAGAATGGGGACATTTATTTTCCTGTTCATCTTACCTGAAAAAAAAAAAGCAAAAAATGAATGTTATAATGTATTGCTTACGATGAAAATGTATTGTTATCTGTTCAGTGTAGGTGAGTGAAATGATGTCCAGGATTTTTTTCTCACACTGATGTCTTGTTACAGGTGCTCAGCTAGATGACATGGATATATCACCTGACACCTCGCCAAGTTCTCGACCCTCCAGCTGTGCTGGTACCCCACAAATGGGGCCTGCCTCTACCCCCATTGCTTTCCCCACCCCAAATACGGCAGCGGGACATCACCCTAGTTCTACCCCCACATCCACCGCCCCTTTCATCTCCAGCATACCCCAGCTCATCACTCAGATCAGCGGGGGACAGAACAATCAAGAACTAGCCAACAAAGGTATTGTATGGAACAACTAATGAGTCTACTTGTGATGTCATCATATTTGGAATGGAAAAAAATCACATAGTCCTGAAAGTATCCATTTTATTGTACAACAGTGTACCATTTAAGAAGAAATTTAGTTTTCTTTCTAATAGTTCAATTTTTATTGGTTTTAGCTTTACAGACTCTGAAGAAGCTTCAGGAGGTAATCACAAGACAGATTGCCCAACAAACAAGTAAGTTTTTAAAAACTGTTCAGACACACAGCTGTCTGTCTGTAGCTCACTGATCTGAAAAAATTGGGATGGACGTCCAGAGGGCTACAAATTTTTGCATTTAAAAAGTGTATATTTGTGCACAAAAAGTGTCCACAGTAGTCTGCCATTTCAAAATGTTACTAGCCATGTGTTCCTTACATATTCTTTTGCTACTTCTACAGCATTAGTCCCCACAACCATTGTTAGTAACTTGTCTAAGACTTTATTGAGACTTTTAAAAATTTTGCCAGTTTATACTGCCATTTTGGTGCACACATTCTTTTTAGGTCACCTGAGTCACTCAGGTGACCTATTGCTATCCGTTTTTGTCTGGCGTCGTGCGTTAACTTTTGAACATTTTCAACTTCTTCTCTAGAACCGCTCAACCAATTTCAACCAATTTTGGCATATAGCATCTTTGGGTGAAGGGGAACAAAAATTGTGAATTTCATGGTTCCTGCCCCCCTGGGGCCCCAGGGGTGGGGCTAAAACCACCAAAATTGATGCAATCTTTAAAAATCTTCTTCTTTACTCCTAGACATCAAGCAGTCAAACTGTTTACATGATTGTAATAAGCATTGGGCCCTCTACCTAAATTGTGAAATTCATGGCCCCAGGGTCAGGGGTTCTGGTGCTAGGGTGGGGCTATATAGATCATACAGTGAAAGTGCATTATTTCTTTGAAAATCTTCTTCTATTCTCCTGGATATTATTTAAACAAACTAAGTGCATGGTTATGACAAGCAATGATGCCTTTTCCAAAATTCTGAAATTCATGGCCCCAGGGTCGGGGGTTCTGGTGTTAGGGCGGGGCTCTATTGATTACATAGGGAAAATGCATTAATTCTTTGAAAGTCTTCTTCTCTGCTCCTGGGTATTATTTAAACAAACTAAGTGCATGATAATAGTGCACAAGGATGATTTTTCCAAAATTGTGAAATTCATGGCCCCAGGGTTAGGGGTTCTGGTGTTAGGGTGGGGCTCTATTGATTATATAGTGAAAATGCATTAATTCTTTGAAAATCTTCTTCTCTGCTCCTGGATATTATATAAACAAACTAAGTGCATGGTTATGATAAGCATTGATGCCTTTTTCAAATTGTGAATTTCATGGCCCCTGGGTCAGGGGTTCTGGTGGTAGGGCAGGGCTCTATTGATTATATAGTGAAAATGCATTAATTCTTTGAAAATCTTCTTCTCTGCTCCTGCTTTATTTAAACAAACTAAGTGCATAGTAATGGTGCACAAGGATACTTTTTCCAAAATTGTGAAATTCATATAGTGAAAGTGCATTATTTCTTTGAAAAATCTTCTTCTCTACTCCTGGGTATTATTGAAACAAATGGAATACATAGTTATGATAAGCAAGGGAGACTCTACCAAAATTGTGAAATTCATGGCCACAGGGTCGGCGTTCTGGTGTTAGGGCGGGGCTATATAGATCATATAGTGAAAGTGCATTATTTCTTTGAAAAATCTTCTTCTCTACTCCTGGGTATTATTGAAACAAATTGAATACATAGTTATGATAAGCAAGGGTGACTCTACCAAAATTGTGAAAATCATGGCCCCAGGGTCAAGGGTTCTGGCGCTATATAGATCATATATTGAAAGTACATTATTTCTTTGAAAATCTTCTTCTCTACTCCTCGGTATTATTGAAACAAATTGAATACATAGTTATGATAAGCAAGGGTTACTCTACCAAAATTGTGAAAGTCATGGCCCAAAGGTCAGGGGTTCTGGTGCTAGGGGGAGGGGGGGGGGGGCTCTATTGATAATATAGTGAATCTGTAGTAAATATGCATATTAATTTGTATTCAACTGAGAGGAGTTATTCCCCTTTGCCATTTACTTTTGATAATTAATCACAGTAAATAATGTACTTGAAAGGTTAATAGAATAGGAGATTTATGCAAGATTTTTTATTGTATAATACATAAAGTACTTTTATAGTTTAAATATTAGGTAGACTTGTAAGTAATAGATAAATAAAAAATGAGACAAAAATAACTTGTCTAATTCAATGTTCATCAAAGACCAAAAGATCCAATGTAAGAGATTTCATCAAGGAATTAAAATAGTTCAGAATCACTGATAATTTGTTAATATACTGTATGGTGATAGTGATAAATGGGGAACAGATTAGAACCTAATTTATGAACTGTTAATGAAAACTAGATTAATTATTTTGTTGATCCTGATCACCCTATTTTTCTTGCTTTTGGGCAACAAAGCTTCACCTTTCGGTTCATTTTATACTCTATGGATCCTCTAAATTGTTGTATTATACTCAGGTGACCATTAAGGCCCTTGGGCCTCTTGTTCATCTGTATAATGTAAACTTAAAAAAGGATGAGATGCTTTTAGCTCACCTGAGCCATAGGTTCAAGCGAGCTTTTCTGATTGAAATTTGTCTGGTGTCATAAACTTTTCACATTTTCATCTTCTTCTTCAGAACCACTGGGCCAATTTCAATCAAACTTAATTTAAAAGAGAGTATCCATAGGTAAAGGGGATTCAAGTTTGTTCAAATGAAGGGCCACACCCTCTTTCAAAGGGAAATAATAAAGGAATAGTGAATATTGGGTGGGGTCATCTAAAAACTTTTCAAGAACCACTAGACCAGAAGAGATGAAACTTGCGTGAAAGCTTCCTGACATAGTGAGATTCAAGGTTGTACAAATTATGACTCCCATGGGGTAGGATGGGGCCACTATGGGTATCAAAGTTTTACATAAGAATATATAGAAGAAATCTTTAAAAATCTCCTCTTCAAGAACAGCAAAGCCATGGTTAGACATATTTATATGGAAGCATCCTCAGGTAGTGAAGATTCATGTTTGTTCAATCAATGGGGTCAAATTTTCGTGGTTTGAAGAAAAAAATTTGGTTCAAGGGGATTTGATTTCATGGTTAAGAAATACCGTGCTGTTATACATTCAAAAATTTACGTTTAGTGGAGATCATGAATTTGTGGGTCTCTTTATACCACGAAGACAAGAAAATTTAACCCCCATGAAAATTAGTGATTTCACAGTAGGCACATATAGGGGGAAATATGCTGATAAAGAGCAGAGAGACTGTAGTGAATCAGGTGAGCACGGTGGCCTTTTGGCATCTTCTTGATAATTCCATTGCAATTGACAGAGGTCTTGACCTTTGTCTTTAAAATTCAGAATTGATAGTTTTTAGCTTTTTTGTGGCTTACTCATCCAAACTATCATCTTAAAATATCAGGATTAGATAAATGGATGCAATATTATTGTTATACCAAGCTATAGGTGAAGTTTCTACCTAAGGCCTTACTTTGAATTGGTAATTGATGTGCGGTGGTATACTTTTTGTCTCATTTCTTGTTTGATGAGCAAGTAAACTAGAGTTTATCACAGTAATTAGATTTCATTTTATCAAATCAAGAATGTTGCCCTCTGACCATATTGTTGATACCAGTTTTCTTTTTAAAGAATTTTTATACAGTATTTTAAAATTGGATATACATATTTTATTTACAGCCCGAGCAAGTACTTCTCATGCCCAGCAGGTGTCTATGTCCACAAACTCGATGGCTACCCACCCAGCCATGACCCGGTCAACTCCACACTCCACAGAGAATGCCTACAACACTGTTAACTCACACTCCCTTTCCCAACCCACACAAGTGTCCAGCCCTCATGTGTCTGCCAATCATGTCAGCAACCCCTCACCAGCCTACACCTCTGGTGGAGGGATTTATGGGAAACTGGGGCAAAGCCAACACCAGCAGCATATAGGGCACCAGTCACCCTTTCATCAGCTGCATGTGGACACAAGTAACGGCCAATATGTTGTTGGGTCTACAGCGGGACAAAGTCCAAGGTCTGACCATGGTCAAAAATCGTCTTGGTAAGACTTGATATATGGTTTCGTTATATTTTACAAGTTTTGAACAAAATTTGGTCATTATTTTATAAGAATAAGTAAGAGCTAGAAATATGTAGTTAAAATTCTACTTAGCAACATAGGCAAGTTTACAGTATGAGATGCTATTACAGAGATGCCCATTTCCAAGAATGAAATGAGTATCATTTCTTTCAGAACTTTGTTGAAAGTTGTTGAATTTTTACTTAATGTTTCATGATTTTCAGTGCTAGTCCATCAAGTACAACCAGTTCACAAGATCTTCCAGTGGGAGTGGGGGACATTTCTGTGACAGGGCTCAATCAGACCAATTCCCCTAATGTGTCCTCTTCATTGAGCCAGTACTATAATGAAAAGCTGATAGGCCATGTCACTGGCTGGCCAGGAGACCAGGCAGAAAGACAGGTATTTATTAACAGGGGTTCTATATAATGAAACAATGATAAGAAACAATGAAGGTTCTGAATTTGTATTTAACATCTTCTGTTCCTATAAAGTTTTTAAGAAAAGATTCAGTATAAGAGTACACGTCTTTTGCAAAAACTTTAGATTTTTAATCATATTAAAGTATTGCTCTTTATATTTTAAATTCATTTCAAAAGAAAACAAATATGTAGAAAATCTGCATAAGATCTTTTATTTCTTTGAAGAAAAGATGGACTTGATTTAATCGCATTCCCACCAAGAATTTCTTTTATGATAAATTGGGTATTCCCGAGCAGCTAAACTTTCTGTGTTCATGCATTTATGTAAATTATAGAGGTACAAGAAAATGATGATCAAGCCTGGTTAAAGATTAACATGTGACACTGATGTTTTTCAGGCTCGTAGGTACTGGGAGGAAGGCATTAGTGTGGGAAGCTTTCACTGTGGGCAAGTGGGAGTGGAGCTTAAAAGGTCAAGGTCATTAGTGAGGCTGGCTGAAATTCAGTCAACACTTCATGAACAAAGGTGAGTAGATCATGAATGAGTGGTTTTCACTCGTCTTCTTGAAAGGAAAGAAAGAAATGACACAGTCATTTAATTTGCATATTATTTTCTTTTCCAGAATTTTATTTTTATCAACACAAGTGCATGAACTGGAAAGCATGAAAGCGCCGAGTTTCTCATCTCATTCATTCAATACAACACAGTAGAAGATTCATCCATGTTGTCCCAGATGCTTCGGTTTTTGTGACTGTATTGTGATCAGCTAGGGGGGATAACATAGACAGGGTTCCTAGTGGTTGCTAAGCTGAGTGTGAGAGCTCATTTGTTCATTGTCTACAGCTATTTTTTTTTTCACCTGGACTTTCCATAAAAAAGATTGCAATTTTTTCTACAGTTAAGGGAGAGATTTAAATTAGATTTCACTTTTTAAGATAAATTTTGATGTTTGAGTTGAAAATGCATTTCTGTCAATTCTTTGGTGTGTGCAATGTAGGTTTTTTGTTACATTTATTATATGTGGAATTTTAGATCTGTAAAAATATGTCGATAATTTCCGAAATTCAGTCCTACAATTTTATACAGTTCATCTTTTTTTTATTATATGCTATAGTGTCAATACTTTCTAAAACATGCACAGTCTTTGTAACTAAGATAGCAGGATACACCATGCTTGTGTTTTAGCCAAAATTAATTAAAATGAGAATTGGTGATTCTTGGTTGTGAAGTTTTAAGAGTTATGTCCCCTACACAGATATTTTACAAGTATTGAAATTGAGTAAAGTATGGAAATAAAAATTTTCACATTTTCTGTTAGGAAAAAATATGACAACATTTTATGGAAGACTTTGTACAAAAGTTTTGTTTAAAAGTGCTATATTGTACATGATCTGTATGTACATTGTAGGTGAATTGTACATATAGTACACTATTACACTGTAAGAAGAAAAAGATTGATTTTACATTGTCGGAGACAATTGTTCACTGTATCCATTTATCATACTATATAAGCAATAGAACAACCATTAACTGTTGCAATAGTTTGTGTCTATAAAGGGGAAAAGGGGGGGGGGGGCAAATATAAGAAATTGTAGGAAAAACAAATTCAAGTAAGAAAAAACAAGTAATATGTAGCCACTTTAATATACTAATTTATACCATTGTCAGTTTTTAGCTCACCTGAGCCAAAGGCTCAAGTGAGCTTTTCTGATCAAAATTTGTCCGTTGTCTGTCGTCGTTGTTGTCGTCGTTGTTGTAAACTTTTCACATTTTCATCTTCTTCTCAAAAACCAATGGGCCAATTTCAACCAAACTTGCCACAAAGGATCCTTGGGTAAAGGGGATTCAAATTTGTTCAAATGAAGGGCCACGCCTTCTTCCAAGGGGAGATAATTAAGAATTTGTGAAAAATTAATGGCATCATTAAAAAATCTTCTTCTCAAGAACCACTGTGCTTGAAAATATGAAACTTATGTGGAAGCATCCTCAGTAGTGTAGATTCAAGTTTGTTCAAATCATGACCCCTGGGGGTCGGGTGGGGCCACAATGGGCGATCAAAGTTTTACATAGGAATATATAGGAAAAGTCTTTAAAAATCTTCTTCTCAAGAACAGCAAAGCCATGATTGGTCATATTTACATGGAAGCATCCTCAGATAGTGTACATTTAAATTTGTTCAACTCATGACCCCTGGGGGTCGGGTGGGGCCACAATGGGCGATCAAAGTTTTACATAGGAATATATAGGAAAAATCTTTAAAAATCTTCTTCTCAAGAACAGCAAGGCCATGATTGGTCATATTTACAAGGAAGCATCTTCAGATAGTGTAGATTCAAATTTGTTCAAATCATGACCCCCGGGGATAGGGTGAGGCCACAATGGGTGATGAAAGTTTTACATAGGAACACGTAGTAAAAATCTTTAAAAAAAAGACTATTTCTTAAGAACAGCAAAGCCATGATATGCATATTCATATTCATATGGAAGCATTCTTAGATAGTGTACATTCAGGTTTGTTCAAACATGACCCCTGGGGGTCGGGTGGGGCCACAATGGGTGATCAAAGTTTTACATAGGAATACATAGGTTAAATCTTTAAAAATCTTCTACTCAAGAACAGCAAAGCCATGATTGGTCATATTTAAATGGAAGCATCCTCAGATAATGTAGATTCAAATTTGTTCAATTCATGACCCCCCCCCCCCCCCCCCCCCCCCACTTTTATATTTAAACTTTTCAACCTTTCAAGACTGAACTGATTTCTGCTTTTTTCTAGCCATAGTGCTCAGGTGAGCGATGTGGCCCCTGGGCCTCTTGTTATTACTGGTAGTTTATTTTTTATTACTATTTTATGCTAAACTTTTGTGTCATTCATTGATGCTCACCAAAACTATATGTTAAGAGGTTAATTTTTCCCCCCTTAAATTTTTTTTTTATTGAGATACAAAATTTTGTTCTTGAGGGTTGGGTGTTGGGTGATGAAGCATTTTCTGTTTTACAGCCACCAGCATTATAACTCTGGGACCAGGCCATGTTGGGTCACATCATCATTTGTCTATCTGTAGCTGTTTTCTGGCATTTTTTTTTGTCTTTTATGAATGAATCAGCTGTGGAATAGGCTTTGGAGATATTTATGTGTGTCTTTGCTTTATGAGAGGGTGAGAGAAAGTAAGGAGCATTGATTGCTTTTGATGGTGTTACATATTTGGATGTGAAGATTAATGGTGCAAAAGGTTTCATCTGTCCAGTATTTTATTTTCTCTCTAACAAAACCAAATTAACATTTCCTGGCTTTTTTCACATCTAAGTGGTCGCTATTTCTAGATAAAAATCAGTTTATATTGTATTTGAAAAATTTTATTGGAACTTTAAAATGATCCGGTTTTTTTTTTTCAATATTGTTGTGCAATTTTCTTTGGTTTAATTTCGAAATAATGTAAATTATGTATATTTTTATACTATTTTCTTCAAGCTTTGTTTTTAATACATTATGGCTTGTGTGATAGGACTTGTGTGGGGGAAATTCTTAGGGTGTTTTTATATCATTGATGTATGTGTTATGTGTAGAATCTGAGAATGAGGTGTCAGTGGGCACATTGCTTCTGTGTATAAAATTGTTATTGGTATTTCACTAAGCCGTTGTGTTGTCCTGTCTGTGAGAGATCCAGTTTTTTTTTTTAAGAGTTTGTGACAATGGTCTTTGAGTTTATATACAGGACATCAGAGCGGCTTCTCCAATGAGAGTTTAAATTGTAGATAATATGTTTAAAGTATCTGTTAAATAAAACTATGAATTCAGAGATGAGTTCTTGTTTGAATGTTGACTTGCACCAAATTTGGTGAGGTATGTGTTTATTTTTCCAGATTGCATGGTGTTATAATGGTATGGGAGAGGACTATCTAAGTTTTTGAAACTTCTGTCCAATCCTTTTGACATATTGTCAATAAAATTTTTTCAAAACAAAAAAAAATGGTATGCCACGACTATCCGTATTTTGCATAATCTGGAATGCATCAATAGCATCAGTGTTAAAGACATTTACAAACTATGTGCCAAAAATATGTATATAATTACAATCTCTATTAGGAAATGTAAGTTGCTTTAGTAATTCATTATTGTATCAAGTTTTGAGACGGTCCACGGCATTCAGGTAGTGAGAGCGTCACGCTTGAGATACCTGGGGCGCTTAATCAACAGGTAAAAGTAATGTCCAGCCAAGTGACACATAGACTCATTTCGGTATAAGGATTTAATTCAGTGTCGTTATATTTTTTCTGTGCTGGAATTAATTACTGAGTTTAAAGGTAAGCATTTAATGCACTTTTATCTCTAAAAATTAAAAAAAAAATGATTAAACATTTTTAAGACAAAAAGGAGGCGACGCAAACACATTTTAGAAAGTTTACTTTATGTTTCATTATGGTGGGGCTGTAAACATTAGAATGTCCTTGTAGAAAATCATCTTTGTTTAAGATAAGCTGTTATGGTTTTATTAACAATCCTCAACATGTATATGGTCTACTATGTGTTTATTGGGGCCGGTATATTTATACAGCAAGAGATAAAACTTGTTTTCTTCACCGTTTGACTTTCCACAACGAGACGGAGGGTACTCGACCCAGTCAGTTTTTCTTACTGCTTCCACTCTCTCGGGGGGAAATTTCAGTGAATGTCTGGTGCACGGAGTGTAAAAAATACTAGACATTGACACATGAATTACCAGACTGGTTATCTGTAAAGTCAGCAGGTTGTCGTTAGTCATTTTGTGCTGTCACCTGTACGAAACCACTCCGTGTAGACCCAGCACCTTGTTATTTCATTACTACAGGCTTACACCTTGCGACACAAACGCATATATAACTCAGCATGGCCTCAGGTGCCAAAGTCAGAAAACCAAACATTTTTGTAGAATTTGTCACTAAAACTAACCTTTTGCATGAGATACGTTTGTCTGACCTCATACAACCTAAAAACCAAACACGACGATTATAGGATTAGTATCCTAACTTAAAATGGGACTTTAATGAAGTCATGGGATGGGGCCAAGCTTTCTCATGGCTTGGTCGTTGGGCTGGACCTTAAAATGGCCCAACTGATTCCGACAGCAGATAACACTTGACGGACGTCCACCTGACGGGCTGATTATCATCATTTATATAGGATTATTATCATGTTGTAAATTTTGAATTAACTTAATATTATTATTGCATCGATTGTTTGATCCCCAGGATTTTATTTGCAATGATAATGAGAATTTTGAACAACCTGCGAAGGAAATGCATGCACTCTTGTTTTCATTAAATGGTTAAATAATTAAATGGATGTTTTTTTGCTTTCTGATTTGTCTGTTTAGAGACATTCCTATGTTTCAAAACGAATGACTGACATTAATATCTATTTTATTATAATGTGTGAGTGCTGCATAAATATTTATAAACTTCATTGATGTGTTGGCACTGATATGCTTGGAATGACGATTTTTTTTTTATCATAGTTTTATTTTCAATGCTAGAGGACGGTCTGAGTAAATCCTAAACCAATGCATGCTAATTGTTTCGAAATTTTTCTTCATAAAATGTACAAAACCGTTAGACTTTACTCTGGTAAATCTGAATGAATAGTAAACGATAATTAAATTTTAAAGTGGTCCCTTCATGTATTACACTTTCAATTGATATTCCATTTGCTCTCTTTAATTATTTTCGGTACGGTGATTAAGCTATTTATTCTCTTCATTTATACACCATTTCATAAAAGGAACCGATTTACACTGTGGGCCACAAATCACGCCTTTTCTGTTGATCAAAATGGTTAAACACAAACCACCGACTGAGCACAAAATGATAGAAGCAGTGGGGGTACTCTCTTTCTCCTCCGAAATTCCTAATTAAGTATATTGCAGCTTTGCTCTATCTTTATTCCTTTCGGGGAAAACTGAATAGCAATATTTTCATCCGATTTTAGTAAGAATTCTATATTTAGTGACAGGTAGTGCCAGTTTTACCACGTGGGGTTTTATTTCACTTTCAGATCTCATACGCTTTCATTACCAGCTTGACTATAAAAATTCAACTTTTTGTAAGACAATTTGATCTGGCATTTCGTTCAAATTTTATGCTTGTTTGTGTACAGTTGGTAAGTTTGCAATAGTCATACAACATCGCAAATACATTTGATCAATGAATTGTGCCTAGATGAGGAACCTACTAGATTTAAAACACACATAACTTTGTCCATTAATTAATTACTTGATGAACTCCCTCGACAGATAAGGTTCTAATTGAATCAGCTATCTCGTATCGATGATCAAAAAGTCCCCGTGCTGGAACCGACACAAAGAGCAATGGTTTCAATACGCAGCATGTTGAATTAAATCATAAAACACAAATATTTGATGTCTTTTTCAATACCGTAGCCTGTCGTGGAATAAGATAGTATACACCCCTATATGAAGCCAGATACATTTGTAAACAAATATTTTCCTATTCATTTTTTGACAAAAAACTGTTCTGTTGCAGTTCTTTAAACTAGGTCGTTTTTGGAATTCGATGCTGTGCAAATAAGTCACTGGAAATAAGGACATTCTTTATATTGAAGCCAATGAAAAGGCCAGAGAATTCCATCGTTTATTAAGCAATCACTTAAGGTGATAAATGTCTTGAAGGGTGATAAAGAAACCTAAACTACACGTTCAATTGTGTCTACTATCGTTGCTTATAGAGCGAGATGAAAAGAGGCGAATAACGAAATATTACAGGAAGGATTAGATCAAGTACGGATTTAATAGGCTTTTTGTCCAGGTATTCTATAACGAGGACTTATACTTACCAATATACCGAGCTCAGGTATACATATTTATGCATAAAGTGTGACGTGAAAGTTCATGCGTTCGGTTGTTCCTTCCTAATTAAGTTGTTCATGACTCCTCTGGATTGATATGACCCATCTGGATTGAGAAACTCATTTAACACAGGTAATTCCATTTTTATTTTGTACTTATTTATTGCCATTTCCAGTATTGGCTCTACATGTGTTTATTGTCAATATTGTCACAGTTGATAATGTCATACTGCTGACTCTACCGACTTTCATCCCAAGGATCCACCGTTGTTCAGAGTACAACTATAAACAACCATTTTTTAGTTCTGTACTGTATGCATATATAGTGTAAAGATATCATGGTTAATTAATTTTCATGTCAGACTATTTATGGAGGACAAAAATAAATTAAAAAAAAAACAACAAATTTTACGGATGACAATGCTGATGTTTAAGATGATGAATAGTTCTGTCGCGTGGTGTTGCTGCAGTCTAGGGTCAAGTTATTCAACAGAGGCTGGCAATATCAGGAATGACACAGCAGTTTCTCTATCAACATACTTCAGTTGTTATTATCCGGGGCTGTATCTTTCTTGCAGTCTGTAAAATGTTTGTCCATCTAAACAATGCCTTACCTTATCAAGACTTTGCAGGTGTGAGACATTTTGGCTTCGGTTTTCGTGTCCTGTGGAATGTTTGATACAAGTGACACCCTTACATTAAGGCCCTAGAAGTGATTGATTCTTCTTGACATTTTATGATTATTGTTGTCTGATCACATGAAATCGATCCCTACAAGAATTTTGACAGATCGCAACACGAAAAACAAACCCATGTAATGTATTACTAATTTAGGAGTTGACTTCATTTTTACAGCATGTATAGTGGTCACTTGAACCAGTGAGCTTGCAGTTGACAGTTGTTCTGTTTGGTTGTAACTGCTCAGTCTGTTGTTGGTCTTTGGTTAACATTTTTTCTTCAATCTTTTCAAAACATGTAAATGTTTTTCTATACAGTCAATATCAGAAGCCATCAAAAACCAGTTTGCAAAATTGACTGCCCAGTTTTTCTAGCCGCATTACCCCTATCTTTCGATAACGTAATCATGCGTGCAATATATAAATCTAAATCCATTCATGAAACGATTTGAATTTTGATAAATTGTCATTGAAAAGACGAAACTGTCTTAAAAAACATTTATCTATTAGATTGGAATGCGGGTATTATACGGAACATAATCCGCCCAAAAACCTTTCCAACAAACTCCTTTTATCAATGTAATAGTTCTCAATGTAAATTTTGGTTAAGATTTAATCATAAATGTTTGGACATCTATTTCACCGCCATTTTCTATACAAACAGAGTGTTAAGAGGATATTTATCGTTGACTAATACACATGTTCAACAGACGAAGTCGATGCCTTTCCCTTAAGGCCTTTATACATGTATGACAAAAATCAAAAATATGATTAAATCATTCTGGTAAACTTGAACTTCGAGAAAAGATTAATTCTTCTCTTCCATTTTAAAAAAAATATTTAAACTTTAGATCTCTCATGCATTTAGTGCAAAACTATAAGCAGGTAACTCACAGAGCATGGATTATGGTCATGTGTTTCAATAGTTTTTCTTAAATCATTATTATTTGTTGAAGTTTCCCATAAACCAAACACTTTACCCCCTTAACATCACTTCTGCAAACAGTGGTGTGGATAAACGCTCATCTTGAAAATCTGTTTTCGGAATGTCAGGTTGCAAATATTCTAAAAATGTCAAAATTCAATGCTGAGCACCATTATATTACAAGGATATATAGACACCATTTATTAATGCTTGCAATATATTCCAATCTGTGCTCAAAACACAGAAACGGGTTATAGAAGATGTCTAGGAGAGGCGACAAAATGAAGTTTCAGAGACAGCAATGCCGACAGAAACCTGATTAAAATATTGGTTGTTGAATCTATGCTTTTATTTTTATGGTAACGTTAAGTCTTGTGTTTTGATGTTTATTCATCATGAGTATACGTAATTTCGAATCTCAAGTAAGGACAGTATGAGTTTAAGAGATATGTGACAGATTCTGTATTAAGGACTCTCCAGTGCTGTGTTTGTAACATGAGACTGACTTCGATTACAGTGGGCTGTCCATCCTTATCTTATAACACCTACAAACTGTCAGTCCATAAGTACAACATAAACAATTAATCTATTTTTACTTTTCCTCCCCCTTTGACCAGATTATTAACACCTATTCAATGTCATCCACTGCAAGACACAGGGAATCCTTGTATTTGGGAGTCACAAACCACAATGATATTTTGTTCCGTGCATTTCCTATTAGTGTCAGATGTATGTGTCAGTTGTGTTATGAACAATGTATCTTGGACAAAAAGCATACACTTTTAGTCACTACTCCAAATTTGTAGACAATTTTTCCCCTTTCCCAACGAACAACACTTGTAGCTGTTAAATTTATTTCTACTAACTTCTACATTATTGTTTACATATGTGAGAAATATGATGACTTGCTTTACGCACTTTAAATTTTGAAAAAGTGTAAGTATAAAATGTAACATGTACAATAGATAGGACGCAGAGGCTCTAATACCTTGTCAAGGTACCACCAGACCTAATCCATGAAATAAATCCTTCAACAAAAACGGAAGTTGTATTTTCACGGGTGACACATTAGTTTCACCAAGAATACAAAAACGCCATTATTCTCATAAAGTATCATTTAAAAGATTATGTTTTAGCGAACGTTTTCATTCTTGCTGGGGGTCCTAAATAATAGAGATAGGAGGGTATTAATTGACCATGTCTAGAGTGGACTCTATCTCCTTATTAAGTTCGCATGATCTTTATGAAAAAAAAAGAAGACGACATAATGAGACAATAAAATTTCCATATATTACCCGGAGGTCGACAGGATAAAACCGCTGTTGTTTTTTATGCTGTCAAGGAATACCTGTGATATTGTTTGTTACATATGTTTACGGGTTATATTACATATTTGTAGGATCATAATTTTTTTCTTTCTATAATTCTTTCGTGAATATGGCAGTTGTACTTTGTTTCAAATTTAGCAAGAAAAAAAAGCAGTCCATAAAGTCAAGAATGTATATTGCTTACAAAAGCCTCTATAAGTGACAGTATTTGGGGTTTTATTAATCGTAACATCAGTTGCCTCCAGAGTAAATGTTCATTATACGTACGACGAAGAATTTACAAAGCTGCGGCAACTTGTCAGTTTAAGGCGTCCTTATTCGTGTTGTTTTTGTTCACTTCTGAATAAGTTTTGTACGATGTGAGTATATCATCACTTGTTATTGTTCCTCATTTGTTTAGAAAACAAACACAACTTAAGATACATGATAGAAGATAGTTTATTTATCCTTAGTTGGCATATCACAAAATTAGGACCGTGACCATTTTCCAGTATGATTTAAAAACAAAAGAAAAATGCTTTTCTAAATAGTCTAGAGGCAAAACCATGCAACCATTCTCCAGTACGAAAAACAAAAGAAAAATGCCTTTTCAAATAGTCTTGAGACAAAACCAAACTAAATAGTTTAGAGGCAAAACCATACAAGCTATGATTTATTTTAATAATCCAAGTGTTCAAGTTCATTTCGGCTTACTTGTTAGGCAATAAAGTATGCAAGTTCACAGTTTCCTAATTTAAAGCAAGTCAGTGTAAAGTTCGTTGACATAACTCTGATACAGACACGTGACCTCTGACATCTTTGACCTACCTATAGTCGTTATCACTGACCGTTTACGTATGCTTGTCAGTAGGTTGCTGGATCCGCCTTGTCTTTATCAGGGAAGATGATAAACAGAGAAATGACAACTCCCTACATTGTCTCATCACTGATCACGGAAGCTTTTATCTAAATATAGTCTTAAATTAATACATCAGAAATATTTCCAACAATTTAACTTGCATTGTTGATACACATATTTTCCCTACATCGATCATTTATACATATATTGGACCAACTAATTTGCATATTATAAAGAAAATCAATTAAAAATTAATTTGTATTTTGGATAATAATGAAACTTGTGTTACAGGACATATTACAAGTAATTTGTGATACGGAAGCAGGTAATATTCCTTTGATCTATCGCGCATGCGTGTAAATTAACCTGTTTACATTTCTTGTCATTCTAAGATGACTGTGTGGTGTATTTAGCATTATTTCTTTCTTTCGGAACAGATTTTCCCAGTTATGGCGTCCCGCCGGGATCCGGGAGGGACCAAGAAGCTCCTGGAGATCCTCAGAGAAAAACAGGTAAGATGGTCAAATGAGAAACGGAAATTTAGCCTACAGGTGTGTACAACCAGGTGCAAAAACATATCCATTTAAATTGCCGGGTCTATAAATACCTTACCTGTCTTGATATACAGACATGACATGGAGTTCTCCCTGCATGGTGATCTTAAGATTCATATTCTTTTGAATTTTGAAAAATCCAGGCGTAAAAAAAATTATATATAAGAAAGCATTTACTCATTGATATGATTAAGGTATACATTGGATATTGACACGACCCCTATTTAAAAAAAAAGAAGAATCAATCATCCTTTCCTAGGGGGGTCCTCGAGGGACAACATGATTGTCGGTTTTCGCCATGTCAAACCACTCAAAAATCTGAGACATGAGATATTTCTGTTACAACAAATAACGGTTAAAATCGTCAAACTTTGTAAACTGTTCCATCGAAGACTCTGTTCTGTATTTAGGTCACTGTGATCGATAAATGGGTCGGTATTTGGCAGGTAAATTAAGGTGTAGTGGCGTATTGGGGATCAAATTTACAAAGTGTAAGAAAGGCCCCCAAATTTGAAAGATATGTTGACATTTTCCATCAACAATATTGACACAGTGGTCTCGTGTGACGAAATGTTGACATGCTGTTTCCTTCTTTAATATAACTGGAACGCGTTTATCATTCAATATTAGTTCTTACAGTGAAAACACATCAACTGGTATCAAAATACAAAGTATCAATGATCTCTATTCATAACTCACAATCAATCAAAAACATTTTGCTCGGAAAGGTATGTGTAATTTTCACTACAAGTAGGGAAAAATTAATGAATATCAACATACGAACTATAAGGAAACTGTGGTAAATACCTTAATATTTTGTTTTCACATGAAAAGTATGTTGAAAAGGTGATTGAGTTGTAAAAAGGCAACTCATGGTGTAGTATTACTAGTATACAAATGGATTCAATGCTTCTGGGTGGAGGATGGACCCATGAAAAAAACAGAACATACATTGCACATGCTCTAAGTACAACACGTTTCATTACTCGATCTCTCGGACCTTGATTCAAAGTTACCCAAAGGACAAACCACTTTATCATTTGAACTGGTTAAATATTTTCAAAGGTACATCTGTATACAGTATTTACTGTCACTGACTATTTCAAAATAAAATCCTTTCGATTCTGCACATTGTTGATGTGTGATGGAATTTTGCTATATATGCATCGGATCCTCAAAAAGAATAATTACTAACTTGCGTTTATGCTCATTAGCCTGTTACGTAACCTGTCTAGGATCCTGCACAAATATTGGATAACTACCCGATAAACACAATGCTTTACATTGATTTTCTTTTTTATAAAAATGTAATTATTTGTAATGTGCATTTGAAGCATAGTGCATTTTCAAAATAAATTCACAGACGTTGTAATTATTTAAATGAATTGCTTATTAATTTACGCCTGTAGATTCGGGTTCAGCTCTTGGACAAGGTAAGTGATGTTTGGAGAGCTTCACCAGCAGTCCCCCACTTCTATTTATAGCGTGGGCAGTTCTCACGAGTGTTTGGTTTGCTAGGCAAGACATGCACGAGTGGTCGACTATTTCAAAAACATCTGAACCATAATATTTAATATTCTACCTCATTAGTAAATGAAGACAAAATCGATTTGTGTAGAACGATAGAGTAATAAATTGTTAGAGGCAGATGGTAGTGTGTGTTTTTTGCTTAATCCATAGTTGGGAAAGTCTATGTTAGCAATGTCGGTACTTTTTTTTTCAACGCAAATTTAATTTAAAACAAGCTTCATTACTTTTTTCTTTACTGTCATTTAAAACATTTCAGTTGCTTAATGTTTGAATAATCTAAATAGTCATGGAGTTCGTGGCTTATATTAACAATGGTGCGACACATAAATATATCAACCTGCTTCCGTTCTGAATTTTAGAAACACCTCCAAGACGCCCCCTTTAGCAGTAACTACATTGGGGTCCAACAGGCTCTGGACAGAACCAAAGAAAGTGCCAGTGATATCAAAGGTCTAAAGAGGAAAGTAGAGGAGGCAAAACGTTCAAAGGTAACATTAAAACAGGTGCTCGATTGCACTACTATAAGTGGACTTTAGGTACTATTCATAACTGCAACTGGAAAGGGCTGAATATATAGATTCGTATTTGTGCAATAAAGTGGTGGTACTTACCACAAACTGTATTCCATGGAATACAATTCTACAATGAAATACAATTCTATATTATAAACTATGGCTAATATGTGATAGTAGGTAAAATACTTACAGTTAAATTTAGGTTATTCCTCTTCATGGAATGACTTAATAGTTGCACCAAGTCTTTAACAAGATGACTCAGCCATACAAAATTCTTGTGTCGTATATTCTCTATTATTTGTTTTGATTTGGAATAAGTACAGAGATCTATCATTTATAACCCAATACTGAACTTGAATAAACTTATTCCAATCAAATCAACTCAAACACCGTGTCTCGATAGCTTTTTCATGTTCTTTAACCCCAATCAGTGTATGGAACAAACTTCAATATTTGTGTTGGTAGGTCTGGTAGAGCTCCAAGTCATTGTAAATCTACCAATCGACATTTTAAAAACGAACTTTCATTAAGAATTTATGTGACAGTTCGTGTGTGTAGTTCTAGCTAATGCACGGATCTTGTCATGGCTAAAAGACCTCGTTATTGGGTAAGTCTGACCATATGAATGTATACAGGACCACATTATTCTCTTCTCAGTTAAGACAATTAAATTGATGGACATGTGAACTTTTTTTTTTGTTTTGGAAAAAAAGAGAGCAAATAGCATTCTATTGTTATGCCAAAGACTTAATAGGAATCAGAAAAAGCTTTGATAAAGCTACGCGATCTTGATAATGATCTTGTTTATGAAAACGAGGTGTCGTTTTACAGGAGGTCCTATAGTTAATTGACGTTCGTAAAATATGGATACGTACATTACCATATTTGGTCATTAAATCTACGTAACACATTAAAAAATATGGCGTTATCAGTAGCAAGCACTTGACAACCATTTTTAGGTTTTTGATAGCCTTATTTGAACTTTGGGTACACCTGTAAGATGTGGGAAGTAAATACAACAAACAACTGGCGAGACAACTTCCCTCTTTTTAATGCATTAGGACCTCTTTCAGTGAATTTTTCTTATGTTTGTCATTTTGGTGGCCTCTTACTTTTCTCTTTCAAATACAAAAACTGCAGTGTTATTGCAAACAGTGCATACCTCATGTGGTCTCTGAATCATTTTATGTTACTTTTTTTATCATGTCATACATATGATAAATGGCTTTGCATTATAGCCCAGCTGCTACAATACGAGAATTTAAGAGGATAACTTTTACCATGGATTTATGGGGTGAATTAAAAAAGTCTCTATATGGAAAATTGTCACACACATCATGATTAAAATAACGAAGAAGAAAAAAATAATTACTGATAAACATGTCTGGTAACATATAGCTTACTTATTGTTTAGGGACAGGACAAGGAAACGGAGGCACTAGATGCTGAATATGAACTGCTTGAGGTGAGTATGTACGACCTATAGTCAATTCCCGTGTTTGGTTTGAAGCTGAGGACACACCGCGCCAAAAACCAAGCCACATTTTTAAGATATTTTAAGGAATTCAAAGAGATTTATACTAGGTAAATCTAGCGCCCCTGGAGTTCAAAGCGCTTGTATCGTACCTGATCTCCGAGTTAAATGTCTTTTTATCACCACAAAAACCAACAAACAGAACATCTTTTTTTCTCTCTCACATCAATACACATCGATTGCCAGCGGGGTGCGAGAACGCAGTGATAAAGTTTGTGTGACTTTTTAAGTCTTCTGTAAAGAATTGAATGCACAATAAAATTTTAAAGAGTCCATGTTTTAAAAAAGCAAATCTTTCTCTACTTATAACCATAGTTTCAAATTCTTGACAATCTTTTATTAATATTTTATGATGCTTCATTATAATTCACTGAAAAAAACTCACATTAAAATGACATAAATGACGAATTTTGTAGGATCTTGCACTACAGAAGAAACGTTGCTTGGAGACTCTTTTATATGTCGGCGAGGTGGAAAATTTACTTCAGGTAAATCAACACAGTTATTCCGATACCAGAGTTATTCTGGAACATTATTACGTTCTATGACAATGTCAATTTGAGCAAAATGATAATGCATCTATGATTTTTAAGGGAATCACACATACTAGTATATAGAAATTATAGTTATTTCATTTCTGATAAAATAAGTTTACGATTATGCTATTTATGCAGTTTGGGAAACCCAATAATTTTTTTTTACGCAAGAAGGGGATATAATTCATCTTGGTTCTTACATGGTAGAATTTTGTTCAATAATTGAATAAGTTACAATATTTTCTAACAAGAGTAAACAAAATTTTGACGTTGGTCCATTCAGAATGTTCAAACAGAGTTCGAGGATCGAGCGCTCTACCTCACAGAAAGGAGGAAAGTTTTCGAGAGCATGTACCGGGAAGACACGGTGGAGGCTTCGGCAAGAATTCACAGGGTAAAAGAACGATAAAACGATAAATAAATCTTATATCAACCTAATCATGTCTTTTTTAATTATGTATGCCTTTTTATTATCAATATTCATTTGTAGGATTGTACCTATGCTTTAAGAGGAACTTGGAACTGGATGTCCCAAGTTACAAAGTGTCTTCAAATTCACATGACTAATGCTGGCGATTACCACCAGGTACATGTACATATTGTAACTCGGAAAATCTTGAGCATGCATGCTAGTCCTTTGAAAAAAAATCTTTATTAAATGATACATTAACTAACATGGTTTCTGCCTTCTATTTTAGTTTTTCCATGATGTCCAGTTTCTGGATGAAGATTTGAGCCTCTTTTTGAATTTAATGAATAGTGATTCCATGCGCACGCGCGTAGAAACTCAGGATGCAGAAGTTATGGGAAAACATATGAGGGTAAATCATAAACATATAATCTATTCTTCTCATTAGTAACCCGTTTCTTTGCTCAAAATGAAATATATGAAATTTTTTTTTCTAGAGCATCACAAACAAACTCTTAGACTTCCAGTGTCGGATTGACAAATTAAGTAACCAAGCCGGTGAAATCTATCCTATCCACCTTAGAAGGGAATCATGTTCTTACCCACTAAAAGCCAAATCACTTGTCTTCTACTGCCACGAAGAGGTAAGCATGTAGCCCTTATTACACAATTCAGAACCTCTTATGAAGTCTTTCATTGTTAACCTACCCTATATCTATGACTTGATCAAGCCATTTCCTGAATTCTTTAAGGTAAAGTTGGAACTTGGGGAGGAGGTTTTGATTCTGGACACATCTGATCAGGACAAATGGCGGGTGTGTATGAATTATAGTATTTCCCTCAATGATTCATTTTACTGTGGTCATTAAGTATGAATTGTTGAGAGACGCTAAGATTCTTGATCGATCTGCATTTAACCTGTTGCAGATTCGCTGTAAAAATGGCTCAGAATCGGAAGTACCAGGAGTTATTCTAGTGATACCCCCTCCCGATAAAAAAGCTGTTCAGCAAGTTCAAAGGTAACTAGTAATTTTCTGAAAATAGAAATCAAGAAAAACCGAAAATATTATTGTTTAAAATGCCCAAAGCATAAAGTAAAAATATGAATCAAACCTTTAATGTAAAATCAATACGTCATATAAATTGATTTATGATGTTTGCATTTTTGTAAGACGTGACATATTCAATAAACCTTCCAATGATTTGTAATATTGATTTTTGGTACTAGTGTAGGCGAAATAGTGATTCAGATTAATATAATTAGCCTACTATGACTTTGTAACTCCAGCTGTAATTAGTAATTTTTTTTTTTCAAAATAAATGCGTAAAAGAAGATAGGCGTGTTTGGCGTATGATCTGCAGGAATAAGGCGTACGAAACATTTATAGTTTAAATGTCTACGATTTGGTCGGCTGACCACAGCTGGACATACTTTACAAAGTTACGCACATGGGAAAATGTTACATTTAGTTTGAAAAACTTTGTCAAATTTAATATATCAGTCCGCTTATCTTAATAATTATACTACATGTAAAACTTAATAACGCTTCACATAAATAATAAACACCTATAGGGTATAGTTAATTGCAATTACATGTATATATCTAAGTATCAGTAGGTTGGAAGAATTGTTTTCGCTTTCGGTGCAACAGAACCAGAATGTATCTATTTGAAAATAAATCAGTACATAAAATTAAACTGAAAAAAGAATTGATTGTTTGTACTTATAAAATATTAACGCTCCATGCGAGGATCGAACCAAAAATATTTCTTTTACATTGCACTGGACGGGTAGCGCATACTACTGAGCTATCACCGCTACACACACTTTATGGTTTTTAAAGCGACAATGAAGCACCGCACTTACACACTGGGATTTTTTGGGGAAAAGTTAATTTTTTATCGTCTCTGGGTCTTCTTTCCATTTTTTACAAATGTTTGTTAGTTTCTTTGAATTAAAATGCACACAAATAACGTTTCAATATCATGGAGAGATGACCCAGAGATAGCATATTTTTAGAAAAACGTGGTTAAAAATGTAACATTTTGTACCAAATGACTCATCTAGCCAATTTTCAAGTTCTTTTTTAGCAAATCAAAATACAATATCGGTAAAATATTTCCCTTTCCTAATTCAAAGAAACCCGATACATCAAAAGAATGCTAAATTTTCATGTGACAGATCAATGAAATTTTCACTTTTCAAGGGCGCCCAGATTCCTGCCGAATTCCAATCAAAAGCGCCCTCGTTCTTTAGATTAAAGCCGACAATAAAAACTTTAGAGAGAAAAAAAGTTTGATTTTTTTAAAAAGAAGAGAAACTTGTTTCTGTACATTAAAATTATTTATGTCACCATCAGAATCAAGGAACAGCTTGTGATTCACTGGGACACTACACTCAGACGTCTTCGCACACAGCTGATTCAGTTCATCTCCAACAACATCAAAGACACGCAGGAAAAAGAGGTCTAAACATTACCTTGCTACTTGAATACTTTTCAAAATCACAACGGATGGATCTATTAAGATCAATTAGCTAGAAAATAAATGTAAAATTTACCTTTTTCTCGCAGCTTTCGCGGATCTCTTCCGGGCAGAAGGCGGAGTTGATGAGGTTAATGAACGAGGCGGTGCAACTGCTCCGACCATTGTCTATTGAAGATCCAGACTTCAAAGCCATGATGGCAAACGTTACAAACTTCAGAAAGATCATCAGTCAGATCAAATCGGGTGCGTAATATCAGATGCATATTAATTATCATAACCGTATGTGTAAAGGACATGTCATTGAAACATACATGTATTTCTTCAAAGGTGATAAAGATTATACCAACGGAACAACGCAAAGATGGCAGGCAAATGCCAGGGTGCTGGTTCACTATAAGGTTCGTATCCAGTCTTTACATATTTTACACTTCTATACTTATCTGATTTATAAATACGTGTTACTCATTAACCTTTAGGAGTTTTTGACATATGCAAAGACGTATAAACAAGGACTCTCAGGATCCAGAGAACAAGAAAAGCTTCTGTTGAAAGGAGCCGGTCAACGTATTTACTCCTCAAAAGCTTATTTCGAAAGGTAACTACTTTGTTATTCCTTATTTTCATCGTTTTCATACATTCTACAAATGCAAATTGTTACAATATTTTTCATTCTTTTAGAACTTTGCCAATGGTGGAAGTAAACACCACATCCTGCGATACTTTACTCACAAGTGTTAAAGCAGAAATGATCATTCATGAAAGGCAGAAAAGTAAAAGACCCAAGCCTCCACCCCGTCGAAAAAGGCAATTGAAAAAAGTTATGTCCTCAGCACTACCAAATGATATTAGCAGTGATCTGCCAGAATGCTCAGAAGAAGTGCAAGGTTTCACTATTACTGGTGTGTTGGACCCAAGATCCAAGCAGCGGTTGACAGTTTTCCAAGCCATGGCTCAGGGAATTCTGAATCAGGCTCATGGAACATATACTGACCCCACCACTGGTAAATCCATGTCCATCCCAGAAGCCATTCATAAGGGACTTATCACAGTGGATACAAGGGAGAATCTTCCTAACGGTCATACACAAGATGATGGATTTTCACCAATGAGGAACACCTTAGAGACTGAGATATTCCCCGTTGCAGGGGTAATAGATCCTCGAACAGGAGAATGGATTGGAGTAAAAGAGGCAGTTTCTTTAGGTATTCTGGATCCTAAATCAGGAAAATACAAGAATATTGTGACAGGGGAAGAGTGCGATCTTTTAGAGGCTGTAAAGAATGGATACATTGTGGTTGATCCTGCAGTACTAGAGGATGCTGAAAAGAAGGAGTGCTTCACATTTGTTGATTTTGCAGATGTTGGATTCAGGGTCACTGGTGTTGTGGATCCTGCTACAGGTGATGAAATACCTCTTAAACGTGCTATGACAGACGGAGTTATCGATCTTGGTAACTCATTGTATAGAAATCCTCATACAGGAGAAACTATTGCAATTGAGGATGCTATCAGACAGGGACTTATCAGGGGGCATTACCTCACTCCAGGAGAGACTGCCAATGGAGGGCCAGACGTGATGATTCTCAAACAGTTACAACTGAAGAATCAGCGGTACATTCCTGGAGATCATGAAGGTGCAGACGATGTTGATGGATACAAACAAACACCAAATTCTATTATGTTCAATAAGCTGCGCGCTAGAATTAATCCAGAAGAACAAACTGTTCTTGATCCCAGTGACTTGTCAAGCATTTCACTGCAGGAAGCTTATGAAAAGGGTGTAGTTGACTTTGCAAAAGGTGAATACAGATTGCCAAATGGTGAATGTTTGTCTTTAGAACAAGCAACTACCAGAAATTTTATGGAACCTTTATTATTGCAAGAAATATTGGGGATTTATAAAGATTGCAGCGTGAAAAACTTAACAAATGAAGGAAAGTTTGACCCAGAAACTGGCCTTGTCTTAGATCCAGTCTCTGGAAATTCAATGTCTCTTCAATCAGCAATAGATCAAAGAGTAATTGATCCTAATCTTGTGTATTTCTATGATGTGCCATCACAAAAACTCACGAATCTTGCAACGACCATTGAAAACGGTTCATATGATCCTTCTACGGGTAAGTACAAGAACAAAAAGGTTCCCCAGGCTATATCTTTGGAGCAGGCTGACAAAGTTGGAGTAGTTTTGTGTGATATTGATCCCGAAAAAATGACCATGGATGCAAAAACGTTAGAACGGCTTCAAAAAGTGATGGATACAAGCATTCCTGTTATGTCTGCACCATATTCCGAAAGCAGCGTTTCTTTGGAAGAAGCCATCAAGGCAGGATATATTGATCTTCAGAATGGTGTAGTAAAAGATCTTCGTTCAGGTGAAGTGATGTCTTTGGCTGAAGCCATGCAATCTTCAAAAATAGAACCTTCAGCTGCTAAGAGCTTACTTGATGCGTTGAATAAACTCTCACTGAATGAAATGATCCAAAAGGGTCAGATTAATCCCGATAAAGGTCACTTTATTCCTGGAGATCGATCCAGACCGATCACCATCCAGGAGGCTATAGATCGAGGTCTTATACATCCTGAAAATGTGTACATTGTAGACAAGGAGAATAATAACATTCTTTCTCTCGAAACTTTGATCAAATCTGGACGGTTGGATCCCAAAACTGGAATGGTGATAGATCCTAAAACAGGAAGGGCTATGTCTCTGTCAGAAGCTATTGCTAACGGTATTATTGATAGCAAAATATCTGCGGATGACTTCGTTGATACCTCTGTAACCCTGAAAGAATTGATAGATTCCAGCAAAGTCAACCCAAGGTCTACAACTTTCGTGGCACCAAATGACCATAAAATGTCTCTCAGAGATGCATTAGCCAATGGCTTTCTCACCATGAACTCCAACGTGAGGTTGGACCAGGAAACTGGATGTGTGGTGCTCGCCGCTGATGAAGAAATTGTTCAGGCTTTGGTTGATGTAAAGGAAAACTCAGACTGGATGACTGAAACAGAAAAGAAACTTGCATCCCAGAAGAAACCACATCAACGGTTGGAAAAACTGCAAGAACAATCAAAAGAAATCAAGGTGAGAATGTGTTTATTAAGCTAAGCAAAGAATGATTTTGCTATTTTTTTTATTCGAGCTTGTTAGCTCTTCTTGCTATTCCTGTCTTCGTCTATTATTCAATTAGGGAATGCGACAAAATCTTTAGATTTATTAGTCATCTTATAAATTGCAAAGGCTAGTTGCGCGGGAAAGTAAGTTAGTTTACAACGAATGAAAATAATCTGAGAATCGTCATTTTTTACGTTCTGTGTTGGGCATAAGATGGAATGACATTTTTAGTAGGCTAGTGAATTTTGTCACACACACAGTTTGTCAAAACAAAACAAATAGGCCTTGTAGTGTAACACAGAAGTCGTTGATAGTTGATCGCTCTTATGATTAATATCGATAGCTTTATCAGGTCGTTTATTACCCGTGTTCTACATTTTTTTCATTCCTGCAATGCACATTTTCTTAACTATTACTGAGGAAAAAACGAAATAGGAAAAAAGTTAAAATTTTAAATGTAAAAGGTACAGGTAACGTTATATAAAGTGCCTGATAAGTGTGTATTCCTTTGGCGTTGGTGTCATTACTGTCCTCGAGGGTCTAAAGCTGTCACCCTCGCCCATATGTTGGCTCTATGTGACCTCTCTGTTTCTTGTCTTTGCCTCTTGAATAAGAGGGCTACCATTACAAGGTGTTTTAAATGATTCGTTTGGAAAGTTATTAAAATAGTAAGAAAGTAGAAAATCGAAGAAAGGAATAATGCATAGGAGTTACTTACCTGGCTGGTTATGACCATAAGAAATGATATGGATTCGTTTGTGAACAATTTACAATTCTCATGGGAAATTACACATTGTAAATACACCACACAGCATCTTGTGAATTCTGAATACACGGGAATCTGGAAAGGGCTATTGATAATATACACAACAGAGTGTAGATGATGATATCCTCTGGTACCTCGTGAGGATGATGAAACTTGTCAAAAAACGTAAGATCTATAGGATATCTGAGCGGTATAAATGTGTCAAAGAGGAAGAGCCCGTGTTACTTTCTTTAAAGTTCAACAAAGAAGTAAGTGAAAATTAAATCTTCTTCAGTGATACATAGAGAAATATTATCCTCAAAATATAAGAAATTCAATTTATGTAAGTACAGTAATTAAAGACATTTTAAGAGAAATATACACGAAGTAACAGATTTGACATTAAGGCATGTATATATTGTAACGTGTTGATTGAAAACGAGTAGAGTACCAGTATGGACAGAAACTGTTATTTCATTCAAATGTTTTGAACAGCTTTGATTGTAGAAACGTTCAGCTCTATACAAGTGTAACGACACCGTCTTCTTTTGATGATAGAAAACGGATGAGGTGATAGAAGTTTCACAAACAATCAATTACGATGATTAAAACAAGATTCTTAGCTTAAATAAATGATATATAAAGGGTAATTAAATGCATTCTTTATCAAAAGCTTATTCCAAAATAGTCACTGGATCAAAACAGTACCAAATGTGTAGGTTTTAGACATATTATGGCTGGACTTAGCTTTTTTCTAATAACCATGTGTAATACAATGAATGCCAACATTTAAACCGTGGGGTTAAATAGAGTGCGGCTTAATCAGCAAAACAAAATGTTCTTTGCCACTTTTTGGGGGTGATTCTCTTATGAGAAGCCTTTATACATACCAATCCTCACTTATGTAACTTTCTTGATCTCTCTTCTTTTTTTCTGGAATGTGTTTTTGTGTAGTTCTTTTTATCAGATGACAATTAGTTTGAACTGATGGTCTTCTAGTTCATTGGAGTATCTTTTGTTGGGAATTTACTTCGGAAAACTGTCCTTATTCACCTGTTTGATGATCTCGATGGAATAAGTTGGACATAGATAGGGTACTGTAGTATTTTTGATGATTGTCATCTTTATGACTTAGCGATCGGATTGTATTCCTGTCGAACTTGGTTATATTGGAAGACAAAACTTCATTGTTTTTATTATACCACTGTCAAGTTGTACCTTTAAAAGATAAGACAGGTGATGATTACAGTTCATTTTGTGCATTGTTACAATAATTTATGATGAAATTATGATTTATATATATTTAAAATCGTTATAATAATGTTTTATATACAGTTTATGCAAGACGACATGGTGAGGAGGAAGGCTGGTGTGACTGCGTCCATCAAGCAGGCGGAGGAGCTCATCGATAACAATCAGACGGACCGGAAGGAAGATGGCGCTCAGCAGATTCAAAAACTCCGCTTTAATGTGTCTGATCTTAAAATCAGGTTCAATGCTGTAGGTATCTCATCTGTATTCAAAGTAGTTTAAAATTTAAAAATTACCACAGCAATATTTTTATTTAATTTTAGACTCGTTTTTGCAAATTTTTGAAAATTGAAAGGTCAACAAAGTGATTGGTTATATGTACTCTTTATGATATTCACAGTTCAACATTTATTTATCATAATGGATCATAAATTTCTGGAAATTACCTGTGTAAATGGATTTTTTCAGGCTTCGGTGTAATGTGAAAGAATTTTTTGTAAAATTTGATATATTGTTTCCCAGATACAGTCAAGTCGCACCTTTTATACTAGATTTCTTTTCTCCCGGAAATTATAAAACGGGTTTAAAATACAACAGATTTATCATTTAGAATACAATTCTAGATTTGAAAACATATTAATAAATATTACATATACTAATTTCTTACATTTCTGGAGAAGTTTCCTTTTTGAAAATATAATTGATATAGTTTTATTAAAAGGCTGATTACGAAAATTACTGAATATTGATATAATATATAAAGTATACTCAATGATACATTGCTGTCTGGAAGCAATGTTAGAGAAGAACTGAATGAATGAAATCATTAATTCAGAATGCAAGGAACGCTGGTTTTTTTTTAATGCAAAGTTTTTCAAGAAAAGATCATTTGCTTTTTTTTATTTACTGTATACTGGTCTTTATAAAGACAGTGTAGCATGGATTTTTTTTTCCTTTCAAGGCTTTTGGTGAAACTGAAAGCAGACGAAAGCGTTTCCAGAAAATGACAGAGGACTTGGAACAGTTCTACAAGACATTACAAGACATCGACCAATGGTTGGATCAGGCAATAGAGAAGTCACGTGACCTTCAATCTTCCAAGGATAACATTTACAACCAATATAATGATTTTAAGGTACCGTTATAGTACTCCGATATTGTACTCTCATATAGTACTGTTTTTCGTTAGACATAAAAAATTGTTAGGGTCCAATTTCAAGGTAATATCTTATTTAACCAAGAAATTCAATATTTATGTCCATTGATGTACGTTGAATATTGGCAAGTTTAAAAAAAAGTCTCACACCCGAATTTTTTTTTTTAGGAATTTGTCGAAGAATTACAAGGGAAAGAAGTTGAAATTTCGGGCTTTATCAAGATGGCTGATGATTTCCGAGATACAGCACAGGTACATATTCTTGAGCGCATCGATATATCGGAATTACAGAATATGTTTATAATCCTTATAATCATGGTATCTTTTTTCAGGAAGTGTTCATTGCTTTTAACGGAAAGACAAGTAAAAAAAAATATATTACAATGACTTTCTTAAGTTTTTGTTGATCAACATTTTATGGTTTTGATTTTGTGTTTGAAGAAGAACCATGATACTATCGTCAGACATTTGAATATGTCGTGAAAGACATGAATTCATGGGTCGCTCCGTACCAAATAAAATTAAGATTAAAATCCTACGAAAAATAGTGATTTTACAGTAGTAGATATTAAATCCCCGATCTTGGTAACCTTTTAAGTCCTCAAAATTTGTATATTCTTATGCATCTCAATTGAAATTATTATCCAAAATTAAAATTGATATTTATGTCTTGTTTACATATGTGCACCTCGCCCGCTTGACGCAGTTGATATAGCGTCTGCTCTAGAGTCGCGGAGTAAGGAGTTGATCCTTATTTCGCGGGTTCGAATCCCACTGCGGGACGTGGAGACCGGTTCTTTGGATGATACCATATAAACCGAGGTCCCGTGTCGCACTAGGTGCTGGCACGAAAAAGATCGATGCAGCACTACTCAATGGCCCTGATGCCGAATATAGGTCTAAATTTGCAGCCCTCCACCGGCAAGTGATGGCCTCTCCACTGAAAAATTCTCGAGAGGGACATTAAAAAAAATGTGTGCACATTGTAGACAAACATTTCTGCCACACATGCAGATGATTTAAGTTGTTTGTTTTAATAAATTTAGACTAAAAATCTTATTTTTAAAATATCTTTCATCGTTTACATTTCATTTTAAGGTTTTAATTACCAGAAGATTCTTTTAGATTTAAGATTCATATCAGTGGATAATATTTTCAATGAAATTGAAGTGTGATTAATAACCGTGACGGAACTTTAAATATTCACTATAGTCTCTTCCATTTAATTGATTTTCCATATCTAGAGCTAATAATATACCATATGTTGAGAAATATTAATAAAGAGTCTAATAAAGAGTGACACTTGTATGGAAGTGAAAAGATGAATGCTTTTAAGAGAGGTGATGTTGGCTAGATCTGGTGTCGGGATAAAGTTTATTGTTGTTTGTCTTTTTAAAGTGGAATTAAAACCCTCTTCAATAGATTGGTCACAGCATATATAAACATATGATAAATTCTTACCCTTTTGCGAATCATTGGCTCTTTAATGTTTTAAATCGCTGATTTGGGATATCGGATATTTTACACACAAAGATGTGAGATATGCAAGAGTAATGATTATTAAGCATAAAAAGATAGCGGGTGGCGACATGGGTTGAGACATAGGTGATTGTTAACGCATTTTTAGTTGGATAGGTTTAGTAATGGCGGCTGATGTACATGAATTGCAATGTCAATCAATCGAGGAAATATTTGAGGTAGGAAATATTAATTTGTTTTTTAAATATATAAGAACACTCTGAAAGAGTGTTTAATACGTAAGAAAAATAACCTTGACGTTCTGTTTTAACACTGGTGTTTGAATACTTGATCCTTTAATCTCAGTAACAGATCCTCAAGCATTTCCTTATGATCAATAATACTTTAAAAAGTCTTAAAATGTTTCAATAACTTCGTTAAACTGCTCTTGAAAAGAATATAAATCATATAATATGCACTGCAGAGGCATTATTTAATCTAGTAAAACGAAGTAAAGTTTTAACTTTGCAAGTGTAGTATTACTGTGTATACCCTTTCGATGAGATATTGGACATCTGGAGAAGTTGGTTTACGTTTTAAAACCTTGTTGTACAGGCCAGTCTTTTACATTTTGTTATAGAGTACTAGCATGAATTATCGATAAAAATTCATGATTTAAAATCCGTATAGCACAAAATGCAATTGATTTTTTTTATCATTGCATTATCTACAGAATAAATGCTTGTATAACTTTTGAACACAAATTCATAATCCTTGTTTTTTCTACGGCTCACAACACACCTGGTATCCTCTGATTTTTGATGTTGTCATAAAACTTTTAAAAAGAAAGCGGAAGATAAGGAATTAATCGGTTTACAAAATTTCTGTCTCTATCATCGATTACGTCCGTTATCCACCTCTTCATTCAAGCTCTTTCACTGCTATCACAATGGTTTATTTACAAAACCTTTTAATCTAGAAGTTCACAACGACATTCTCAGAGAGAATTGTGTGCAGTAGAAGATAGCAAGAAATAAACACTTGGCATCACTTTGACGGAGATCAACATTTCTTTAAATTTCAAATTAGTTTTTCAATTGTGTTTGATACATCATATCCATGAATTATTCATCGATCTACTGTGTTTTGAAACATCACTGATCGAAGCTCGGGTAGTTCAGTGTACTGTGTAGACAATTTGATAAATCGCTCGCCTAACTAAAGTTAGAAATACTGTTGATTAAAATCTTGCTGAGATGGAACCTACCTAAACTGTTGAAGAAATGGACATTCTTGTAGCTCATTTGAAAGCATGCCAGAAAGCAAAAGGGAGAACTGGGCTAAAAAAGAAACTAGATCGTATATATGTATCTGGCATGTGCATGGAATGTACTTGATATTAATGAGTGCAAAATGTGATCAGTGACGTGAGTGTAATGGCTTCAATAGAAAAAAGAAAAGTTTTTATTACTAACCATTACTCATACAGCGATGAAGAAGATGATGATGTTGATCTTTGTACATGTCAACATTTCGACTTCTTCGTAAAATGTGGTAGAGTAAGTGTTGCTGTTGTCTGTTGAGTCGTATTTTCTTTAATATCTTCACGTTCTTTCTATGTTGATCTTTTTTTCTCCAGGAATTCGAGAAAGAGGCTGAAGCTTATCGTCAGCGAATTCAGGTTCTGCCTCCCATCAAGGAAGAAGTTGACAACAATATCATCGATGATGAAATCGAATCTTTGGAAGAAAAGTACAAAGATGTATCACGTGACTGTTCTAAGCATATGGAAAGACTTGCTGCCTTGATGAAACAGAAGAAAGGTTTCGATGATTTAAAGGACAAACTTTCTTCTGTTTATCCTCAAATCGAGGCTCGGCTTAGCAACATTCATGGAAATGGTCTCGGAAAAAATCCGGAAAAGGATGCAAAAGACCTTGCATCAATTAAAGATTTGAAAGCAGATCTCATAGGACAAGACAGAAAACTGAAGGATTTTCTTCAAAGTGGTGAAAAATTGGTCAAGGGTTTAAATGAAATAAACATGAAGCAAAAAGCAGAAGAAGTTAAGAAATCAATGACTGAGATGAAAGGAAAACACGAAGCTTTACAAGGTGAAATAAGTGAGAAAGAAGAAGAGCTTTCGTCGGCTGTATCTCAGCAGCAAAACCTTAGGAACCGTTTGGATGGACTTTTGAGATGGATATCAGAGACTGAGAACACGTTAGGAGATCGACCATTAATTAGTCTGGACAAGGATAGACTTGGCAATCAGTTAAAGGAACAACGTCTCCTTAATGGGGAAATAGAAACAAACAAAACACTCTTGGATAGGATATCTCGAGAAACTGGACAAAATACCTCGGACGATGATGCAGAGGGTATAATCCTTGAACTGAATGAAAGGTTAGTAAAATAATACACTTGTAAATAGCCCGAGGTTTTGTTCAATGTTATGGAATAAAAAGGAATAACTATTATTCACAATGCTATTTAATAGCAAATACATTGAGTTGTAATTTTTTTTAGAATGTTAGAAGTAGAGAAAGAGGCTGATCAGATAACCATGGAAATTGAAGACGTGGCATGCAGTGTGTCCGAACTAGAGAACAACATTGGTCAGATGGACTCATGGCTTACTGATGCAATTAGTTCGTTAAAAACGAGACAAAAGGGTGCAAATCAGAAGGCTATAAAGGCCAAGATAGATGTGTTATATAATGACAAGCGGGAGAAAGAATATGATATGGAAAAACTCAGACAATCAGCAAAACAGATTATGGAGGATGAACGAGTTTGTGATCAGTTTGCAATGAAGGAATGCCTTGGAGAGGTAGAAGTAAAATGGCATGAATTAACGGAATATCTAGTGCAGCAGGTGTCGTTGGAGGTAAGAAAAGATTGAATAGGACGATCTTTATAAATTTTTACTAGGATTTGTTATGGGATAAAGCTATATTGACCATTATAGGCTCTAACGGAGATTGATGGAATGTTGAAGTACCTAGATAAAGCTGAAAATGAAATCAACACAGCAGAACCAGTCAATGTTGAACCAGAAACTCTCACAATTCAACTTCATGACCACCAGGTATACCCATCTATTGCTTTTATCAAACTAATTTTAAAGTCAAGTGACATCTTTGTGGAAATAGTCGATGATGTGTTTTTGAAAAAATACAATAAGACATATTTAATTGCAGTCAGTGTAATATAGATGAATACATATTTCATTGTAGTCATTCAACATGGATCTAAATCAAAAGAGAAATGCAGTCAAAGACATTATCAACAAGTGTAACAGAATGTTACGTGAAACTACCAATGCCCAAACAGATGAAATCAAATCAAGGCTAGAAAGCATCAAAACACAGGCTGATATTGTCTGTCAGTTAAGTGCAGAGCGACTGCATCAACTGGAATCGGCCCTTCCTCTTGCAACACACTTCAGTGAAAACCAAACGGAGATTCATAGCTGGCTTGATGAAATGGAAGCAGATTTAAAGGCTCATTCTTCACCAGGAAACACTTTAGAACAAGTGAAAAAACAGTTGGATAATATTAAGGTTCGTTAAAAAAAAGATGCATGTAGTAAGCATTCTAGCTTAATTTTGATTTTACCCATGTTAAAGTCCAAATAATAAGTTGTTTTTTTTTTCAGAATACAAAAAAGAAAAAATCAAACATATGCACCAAACAGTCTTTCAGACTAAAATTTATGTCTTCTTCGATTTTGCTTTGTTGAATGATCAAGAGAAAATCAAACTGAAAAAAAAATGTTTCCAAGTTTCCATTGGGGAGCAAAGTTACAATCTTTAATTATAAAGGGATGACAGACAGTATCCCTGCTCTGAATAACAATTCAATTATTTATTTTTTTTATTTATTTAAAATTCATTTTTTTATCATATGATTACTGAGTGTAAGAGGAAAAATAGCTCCAAAGTCTAGAGAATTTACATACATGTCTAAAACATGCAAAATTTACTTAAAGAAAAGAGTTTTTAGAAGTACATCGTTAATAGGCATATGTAGCCAATAAAAATCCAACCTTAAAACAAATAATGCAAGACAATAACAACAAAGATGTAACATTTGGTATTTGACATTTGTGCTTCTTTTGCAGGACACTCAACAGAAGATTGAGGATCACAAACCTTTCCTAGAAGATCTGAATACCACGGGTTTGGAGTTAATGGAGTTATGTTGTGAAGATGATGCTGGAGATATTCAGACAAAACTTTTAAAATACAATGAACAATATGAAAAGCTTAAAACTCAAGCGAGAGAGAAAGCTAAGGAGCTTACAGTTGCTAGGAGTAAGATGACTCAGGAGGTCTCAGATTCATTGGATCACATTTTAGGAGATCTTGAGCAATTGAACAGGGATTTGGCAACAGCAGATCCTGTGGCAGCAAGTCCTGATAAATTGCGAGACGAAATCAGACAAAACAATGTAAGTCACGTATTAGAATTCAAGATGGAAAACCGATATATAAATTACAAGAATTATTAATAACAAACCGGTGTACTTCTCATATTTATTGTTTTTGTCTTTTAGTTATTACTAGAAGATCTGGAAAACCAACGTCCAGCTATTGCAGCAGCTGATGGGGCTGTAAAGAAAGTTCTTGATCAAGGAGTGGATGATCCTGCAGAAGGTATAAGAAAGTTCATTGAGTCACGCTAAAAAACAATGGATTACTGAAATTTTTAAGGTTGAGATTTGATTAAATTTTATTTCATTTTTGCTTTGATTAGCTGAAGACCTCAAGTTAAAGTTAACAGAAATAGCAACGCTGAATAATCAAAACAGAGAGGCTGCTTTGAAAAGGGAAGCAGAATTATCTAGTGCCATGAAGGTAGCAGAGAAGTTTTTTGACTCCTGTAATGAAACAGTTTCTAACTTACGGGATCTAAAGGACAATTTCCTCTCTCAAGAACCACCAGGTGTAGATTCCTCAACTGTTGAAGAACAACAAAAGGAACTAAAGGTGAGAGAAAATTGTAATCTTAAAATTACTTTCATACGCAACTTAAAGTGAAATCGGGAAGAATCATTATTTATCTTTATTTGTATCAGGAATTAAGAAAAGAACTTGGAAAAGCAAGACTTTCATTTGAAGAGTGCAGACAATTAGGAGAAGAACTTAGTGGACTGTGTAGTGACCCAGGTCTGATGGAGATCAGAAAACAGTTGGAAGACATCCATGTCTTAGCAGATGATGTGCATGATATTGCACGTGACAGGGAAGAGGACCTAAAGAAGGCACTTGGCCACACTGAAAAATTCCAAGAGCTCCAAGAAGTAAGTAAAATTTTGTCAAATTTCATGATTTTCAGAAAAATATTACTGATCGTAAAATGACCCATTACTTTATTTGTCGCAGGCGATTATGACTTGGATGCCTCTAACAGAACAAGCCCTTGATGATATGGAGATACCCTCCAGTAATCCAAAGACTCTGAAATCCCAAATAGAGGAACTGAAGGTAATGTTTTATAACACATATTATGAATTGCATGAATCATATATCCGATATTTATTTCGAAGTATGTTGCATGAACATGATAAATGATACAAATCTATAATGTTCATAATTCTCTTTGTATTATATCACAATATCATGTATTCTAAAAATGGAAATATATTAAAAACTAACAAAAATATGCTTGCTTAGCATAAAAAAATAGAAAATGTTCTGAAGTTTGAAGTGTTTGGAAGATAATATTAACTTTCTTTTTCATTAGTAAATCTCTAAATTTTAAAACATACTGTAATATTTTAGAAAGTAACATAAATACGTAACAAGTAGATTCTAATGAAAATCAAATCGTCAATAGTACATATGTATATATTTTATCAATACACCATGTAATACAATTAGACTGTGTTATTCTAATTGACATCTCTATAAGTGGACAAGGTGTGTATTTCTTTGCTTTGGTTGACGTCTTCCTATAAACTATGTTGCAGGTGTTTGCGAGTAACATATATATTGAACCTCAAGGGGTTTGTATCATACTTGTGTAGCATTTTAACGTGACCATTGATAATCACGTAACTACGTAGCATATATTAACCTATACTACTAATATTATACTATGTATGTTTGTGAAATAGAGATTTTTTTTATCACATCATGCAGTTCTTATTTTACTAATTTCTATCCCTTTCCAGTTCCATAAGTCAACCCACTATAAGAGATTATAAAGTGTGAATAAACACAGAGGAGTTACTTTGTTGCATGGGTTTCCTTTGGTTGATCTGTTACATTTCTGCATGGTGTTGCATGATTCAATTCATATTTAGGTGTAGATAATGTTAGAATACAATTTTTTATTTTCATTAAATCGACAACTTTAGAGTAGCTAATTTTAATCTTTCTTTTACCCGATTTCTTGCTTATTCTTGATTTCTTAAAGTATTTAATTCAAACATTAAAGATCCACTTACCAAACTTGTATTGCAGTCTAATAAATCTGACATTCACCCTCATGTGGCGGACATTCAACAGTTAAATCAAGAGTTAGCTACTCTTAAGGATATGTCTCCTGTAGCCGCCGAAGCCCTTCAGAGACCGGTGGAGGAAATCAATCAGAGATGGACTGCTTTACTTAAAGGAATCGCTGATAGAGAGGTACTACCTACCTTAAATTATAAATTGTGATAACTTCAATATTTCGGTCCAAGTAAGATTTGGATATTTGTATAAATGTTTATTATGAGCCGGGTTTTTTGTTTATTCAAAGGCAAAGTTAAGTACAATGCAGTTGAAGTTGGGTGAGCTGGATGCTGGAATAAACGATAGCTTAGATAGCTTAGAAAAGATGCAAACAGATCTAGAGAAGTTTGAAGGTGTTAAGGGTGATCCTAAATGTTTGGAAACATACATGAAAAAACTTCAGGTAAGTTTTTTTCGTACATTATGTACTTATTCAGAAATGTCAGGTACTTTTTTTAATTATAAAGAAAGAAAGATAATTTGTCTCAGAAATTAGTAAGACATCATGCAAAACTAAGAAAATACTCTGGACTGTAGGTAATGAACAACGATTTGAAAAATCAAGATAAAATGTGCAAGAAACTAAGTTCAGCTGTTGATGCAATCCAAGACTGTCCTGAGTTAAAGGAAAAAAGAGATGTTATGAATGAACAGCTTCGGGCCACACAGGCCAACCTACGGGACAAGGAGGCAAAATTGCAAGAAAATCTTCGTCAAGTGAAAAAGTACCTTGGCGACTTGGACGATGTGTATCAGTGGGTGAATGATTTCCGAAATGAGCTGAAAGCAGCCGTTCCTTGTGGAGCACTTCCGGAGACGTCAAAAGCCCAGTTTGAGTCTTTCATGGCAAAATATGAGGAACTGGAATCTAGAAACGAAGCAACTCAGGGACTTATTGCTAAAGGACAAGAACTGGCCAAGTCTTGTTCTCCACAGGATGCATCTCAGATTACGGAGAAAATAAGGAAACTAGGAGATCGCTGGCGAGACACTCAGGACCGTGCAGAAAAGAGAAAGGTATGTTTTCAGGGAAAATCTTTAAATGGACCATAGTGATAACTTTTTTTAAAGTACTTTCTGTATTGTATATTATTTCTTTAATTCCAGGATAAGCTTTCTGAACATCTTCGTAATGTTGGAGAGTTCCACGATACACTGAAGACATTTACCGAATGGCTAAATAATGCCGAAATTGCCATGAGATCATTCAAATATCCCAGCAAATTGGTGGAGAAAGTCACTGTACAGATTGAAGAACATAATGTAAATAAACTTTCTTTTCACAAATGAATATAACAAAACTTTTTTTTAGAAATTTAAACAGACTGATGCTTTATAATAAATTGAAATAAAAGACGGTTACTTCATTTCGATTAATAAAATTATCTCTTTTTCTTTTTATATAGAAATTAAAAACAGAGTTGGAACAACATATAGAGAAAATGCAAAGTCTTGAAAAGAATGGAAGCTATCTTAAACACTTTGGAAAGAAACAAGATACCATATATATAAAGAATCTCCTTGTTGGAATCAAGTTACGATGGAAAAAGCTGATGAGAAGAACAGATGAGAGAGGACGTCTTCTTAGGTCGGCGTACAGAGAGGACAAGCGGGTATAAACTGTTGGAATATTTCATTTCATATAATTATACTGAAAGATTAAAGAATCATGTACACAAATCTAAATAAAAATATTGATAAAAATAAATACAGCTTTTTGACAAATCTCTTTATTCAGATTTTGATATCTTTAAAATTTATTTTCTGTTATTTTAACATTTTTTTTCTTTTTTAAGTTTTATGATGCTTGGAAGAGCCTTTGTGACTGGCTTGATGAAAGTTCCAAGACGATGGCTCGATTCATGGTACCAGTAAACCAGGGATCTGCCACCAAGCAGAACATTGACGACCTAAAGGTAAGAATAGAACACTTATTGCAGAATAAATGTACCAGCTTTTCTATCTAACATGCTTAAGACAACTGGTGTTTTACGCCTAAAACTTACTCTTTTTACAGATATTGCACAAATTTCTACCATTTTTAACAGGAGAGATAAAATTTTTCACAGTGTTTGAATTTTTTAATGAGGAAGAAAATCATTTTCCTTCCCTAGTGTTAAAAGATTGATTTATATGTGTGTATAATGATAAGTGACGTAAACAGAAAATAAGGTAACATCTGTTAAATGTGGACCATTGACTGGGATACATTCGATCACTGTAGACCATTATCAACTAAATAATCTAAGTAACTTTGGTTTCTTTAATTTGGAAGACTTTACTTTTGGAAGCTTTTCTACAGGTTAGTGAGCACGCTTCCGCCAGTGTTGTATGTAAAATTCCCTCTGGCAAGAAGTCCATATTACTTTATTTCGTTGCCTTTTTACGGAGCAATATTTTGCATGTTTTTCCGTACTTTATTTTGTTACAATTTTTAGTCCTTTGCATGTCTTTAGTGTTCAAATTATGATTTTTCAAGTTAATATTTTCATATTTCGTAAATTGATATGTATTGTATTATTGTAAAAAATATATTGAAATGAAAGCATTTGTACCGATGTAGATAATACTAAATGACCGTATATTTCAAGGATATTCAGGTTAACTATGAGAATTATAATACAGGCATTTTTAGTTCAGTAAAATTTGGTTGCATTGTCTCATCTACATAAAGTACCAGAGGTGATGTTATGACACAATGTCAGCCGACCATCACGTTTTCTGCGTCAGTGCGTTTTATGCTCCCTGAAATTTGATTTTTTTTTTTAAATCTGTAAAGCAATGGACTAGACTGTCATCTGATTCACACTATTGTACATTCCAGAGAAGATTGTCATATACTCCCAGTAAATGCCCGCTTTTGTATACAAACAAGTTACATCCACCTAAACACCAATACATCCCTTTGTGCAGCCTTCTGAGTATATACAGTCGGACAAGTAAATTAATGTACGCTTGACTGATTGGTAATCTATACGGTTCAATGACCTGGGGGACCATTTAGTTTTACGTATTTTACGAATTATAACTTCATAAATCATAATTTTGAAAATGTATTTACGGTGTAATATTTGAGTAAAAAGACTTGTACAGGTGTCTTTGATATAGTGGCCTTAGGGGTCCATGATGATATATTGACCCTTTTTGTTTTTTGCCCTATCGTGTGCCCCTTTTACTTAGTGTAATGCTATACCTGTATGTAAAATATACACCTGTATCGGGCGATTGTTAATGTCATCGTTGATTAAAGTGTATACCTAAAGTCATCCGAGTACGTGCATCATCCTTAGATAATATTTATTTCACAGGATTTTAGTAAGCTTAATCAAGGTAAGAATTTAATTAGCGAAATTCATTTAATTCAGGAAATAGTTTACAGGTGTCCTTTCATTGACGATTGGAGACATTTAAAACATACCTTTTCCTTGTATACAAACACAAAAATATCAATCTGTACGGTAATCATATGCATCAGTGGGGTCATTTTGTGACATGAGAAATAAAAACGAACATACAGATAACTATTACATATGTCACATAAATGAACCATTTATTTTGCTTTACCTTCTTTGTCCTTGACTCAGCATAACAGGAAAAACTGACTATATCTTTTTTTTTATTCTAGATTATAATTTTTACAGCTGTTAAAATGCAAAATTTCTATTCTAATACATAACTCATTTGTTATAAAGCAGTTTAAGATGTGCATAAAAATACATATGATAATATGCATATTTATACACTAACTGCCGGAGGCAGTTTTTGTTGTTAGTCAAACGCATTAAGATAATAGTCCTTATCTTCTCTCTGGCTATCTTGTCAGACCTGTTACTCGTATAAAATAGTCTTTCACTGATTCATTAAAGAAATATTTTAATAGACTCGCTCAACAGGAAAAGATAATTATTTGATAGAGACTTGGAGGTCTGTAAACTTTTGATGTTTCGATTTAATTGTTGTGATCAATGTAATTTGTGTCACCAAGTACATTAACCTTACTGCAGACGTGATTTAATGAATTACCGTTAAATAAATATTATTCTAACAGATAAAAAGTACTCATACAAATAACTACAAAGCAATTTTTAGCACTGCAGTTGAATTTCATACACAGTATAATAGCAAATGTCTCTTATGCCTCTTAAATTATATCAACACCTTGCATTTTACATATAAATGAAACACAATTTTTGCTTTGGGATTTTATAGAGGTTCCAACATCAACTGGCAGCAAAACATCAGGCATTTTACTCAGCCACGAGACTTGGTAGAAATCTTAAGGACAGGTGCACAAAGGCTGATTCTGAACGAGATGTCCTACAACAAATGCTGGATGAATTGAAAAATAAATGGAACGCTGTCCGCTCTGTCGTATCTAGGAGGTCAGTAACATACATGCAGTGCCATTAGATAGAGTATTTGATTTCCAGATTTTTCCACAAATGAATAACATAATTGATTTTATTAAATAACTCCCTACAAATCCCCTCATAACCCCCTTCCCCAGCCCAAAGATGATTAGCAAAATGATTAGCAGCATGCATAACATATGGTATACATATATTATAAAGCTTTATCAAAATGCCCTCGGAAAGAATATAATGGTGCATTGTGTAAGAATATTGTGTATATGAATGTGTTTGGGATATGTTAAGATGACAGTTTCAAAACAAGCTAGAGACTGGTCATGCAGTCGCCTACTCTACATTGGTTGAGTTTAGCTTTATATACAGTTTAGGTTCTTGTGCTGCTTTGGACTTGAAACTAAAAGATTTGTAATCTTATATTGTTTGTGATATTATTTATTAATTAGGAAAATTACACATGTGTAGACTACTTTGAAGGTTATGAAAACGATTTTGAAGTAATATATACTGTATATAGTCCATCTGATAACCTCAAGTCTGAACTTTTTAGTGTATCAAACCGTCTCGAAATGCCCAAAAAGCACTAAACTTCTCACCCTTTTTAATGTTTAATGTAGTCAGTTTAAAAGTGGTTTAAACAACATATAGGAAACTGTTTACATGTTAATAGATTTCAAATATGTTTGCATTTACGCCCTCTATGTAAATCTGCTGATTCCTAGGTCTTTTAATTTATCAAAAGCGTGTTTTTTTCTGTAAGCTAAACAATTTTGTATATACATGTAAACTACATATACATATATGTATTTTCAACTTCATATTGGTTCTTAGTTAATTTAAGCCAAATGTATGGCAAAGAGTTTCTAATTGTTAATATTTCATTAATCCTAATGCATTAAGAATTTAATCTTGTATAAAGATGTGAATTAGGACTCACTTAGCGTGAAATTCCATGGTGTCTATACAAACGGCAGTATTGTCTTCGTGCTTTGTAAGGACCAGGAGATGATATATCTGGGTGATCCATCGGCCATCATCTACCCCCCATTTACGGCCAATTAGACCAACAGACAAGTGCTTATGTGAAGTCAATAGGCCGGTCAATTGAAGACAGCTCTTTTCTCCTTTCTGTGTGACTGTTGTGTTTAGTCGGGTGTAGGGTGACTTGATGGTCTTTTATCGATCCATAGCGTCTTCAGAATTTGTTCTTTGTCACGTACTCTGTGAACCAAACATTTGGCACCTGCAGATAAAAAAAACAGCAACAACCAAGCAATGTCTCTTAAGATGTATGTTAGAGTGCAGAGTGTGATGGAAATGTTTTATATGGATAATTAGGAAGATGAATATGGAATTTTTTTTTTTTTCATCATTGCGAATTCTCAATGGGATTCGCTTCCATTTCGTGAGCAGGCCTTTTTGATTTATTATTCAGGACAATAATAAGCCCCCAAACCCGGACTGTCAAGAATACAAGACAACTGATGCATATAGTAGGGAATCACTACTTTCTGTTGTTTACATATATGCGATTTATATGTTATCCTATCTAGAACAGATTGTATCGGCTATGTTTACCTGGGAGAATAAAAAGATAAACCAATGGACTGGGTAGAGCAAGGAAAAGGTCTATAGACACCTCGTTCGTGATTTGAATTCGGTCGATAGAGCGAATCTGGCTGTTCTCAACATCTGGTACAGGAGTATAAGGTTGAAGCCTTAAGTACTTTATATGTACCTCGATATTATTAATACATGGGAGTTATTTTCTGGATCAATATTATTTTGAGCTGTTTTTATTTACTTGGATATTTGCATAGTGTGAATGATTGATGCGAGGAAGCGATCTTCTTTTCATTGAAATAGCAAAGGAAAGCGGATGACCCCCTGTATTTTAAAGTTCTCTGAGGTTATTGCATTAAATAGGAAATAAAGAACCAATAAGGATTCACTGGAAAGATTATGAGGGTACGCTAAACAAAATTAAAGTGAAAGGAGAAGGGTTACAAATGTGGACGTAAGAAATTATCGGTGAACAATATGTTTGTATTTTTATACATTACCGTACAGGGATAGACCCTGTTGACGATTACCTGTCGTCTGCTGTAAGGATACACCTGTGTAAATTAGAGGATGTTAATTTGGTTCTTGGATTTATACAGGATAGGCTAATTATGCCTTTCGATTCACCTGGAGAACCGACACCGTATACCCAAGAACACATCCCAAGACTGACATTAATGTCACCCAGGTGAGAGATTGACCCATAACGCCTTCACACAGGACCATGTGATTCAAAATGGCGGCAAATCGCCAATTGCTTATTTACAGTGTCGTTTTATGCAACATCTTGGAATGAACAGCATATCGAGATATCCTTATTGTTCAAATTCAGCTGTATTTGAAACATGGATTCCAATCATTCTTGAATTTCATATCAATCATTTTCATTTATTCAAAAATTATAAATGCGTAATGCTTCAGTTGCTCTGTTTAACTCTCCTGTAAATATTTCAATATAATTATTTATATCAATTTACCAGTAGAAAACTTCTTTTTAGAATTCCTCAGGGACTTGTATCTGTGATAACTGAGAACAGAATTCTAGCTTCAATCGCCCTTTAGAACCTTCAGATAAAGGGTTTAGATTTAAGTAGAATAGAAAATATTTTGGTTAGTTCGGTGAATAAAGTAGGGACTAAAATACTTGTATTGACACAGGAAACGCTTTCCATTCAGAAAACCCTTATCTGTATCTAATATGATAAGAAAATTTTTAAAAAGTTCAGTTTAAATAGCAAATTATTTACGGATATGATTACCTCTTGTGGTCTTTTGGCGCGAAATTTCCTTATACGCAGTGAAAATTAATCTCCCTTAGAATAACCTCGGGACTCTTCTTTCAAAAGGGTTGTCGAAAGTAGCAAGATGAGGTTTGAATTCTACTGGGTGAATTTATTCCACTCTGAATTGAATTATAAAATTAAAAAAATATGACTGTCACATTCACAGCATTTCACTTACTTAATAAACTACACTATCTTGTTTTGTGGACTTGTCCTTATATTTACAGATAGTATATAGAAAACGTTCGCTAGAAATTCGGTAATTCGACTCTTCTTTTTGGGTTAATTTGCATAAATTGAAAATATAACAACTGCAAATGTTGCATCCAAAGCAACCATCGTAGGCGAAGAGAAATTTATAAAACGTAATACGGCTATATTGAACACTTACCATTTGGCATGAAAATTGGCTTTTGGGTATTACAATTTGAGAATTAGGCATCTGTGTTTCTTGCAGCCAAAACAAGCTAGACGAGGCGTTGTTGACATCAGGAAGGGTGGCGGACGCTATCAGTTCCCTCCTAGAATGGCTAGGCAAAGCGGAGACGAGCCTGGCAGAGGATCAGCCGATTATGGGTGACACAGACACCATCCACATGCTCATTGAGCAGCACAAGGTTAGTGATAAACTGGAATATAAAGTGATGTGTTTGAATAAAAAAATTAAATAGATTTGTAATTTGCTTTTGCGCTGTAAAATCATTATTCCTTATATTTATAGGTTAAAAACATTAATTCGAACAAGTTTGTTGTTAGCCGTTTAGAAGTCCATGGGTAGATTACAGCAAAACAATTACCTATTTAAACAAATAGTTATAAAAAAGTGTTATTTTGGCAGACGATGCAGCAGGAGCTTGGAGCGCGGGAACAAACGGTGGCAGCAATGAAAGCCTCTGGCGATATTCCCGCTGCTCATCTGGAAGAGCTGGAGACCACATGGGACCGTGTCAACCATTTGGCGGACATCAGAGAAAGCCGTCTGCGAGAGTCGCTCAAACTGGTTAGTGTATTGTACACTATCCACTTATAAGGATGAGAGCATAGAGATTAAAGTGATGCTGGCAACACAATTCTGCCATACTATTGCTTTCAGTTAACAAATTTGAATTGTTTATATGGCTTTTTAGTTTAAAATATGTTTCTTATCTTACAGTAATGAATATACACATTTTAAGTTAATCAAATAGTTTTACTTGAAGTTTATAAAACCATTGCAGGCTGAAGAATTCCAGGATGCTGTTCAGATAATGAGAGATTTCTTGCCACAGGCAGAAGCAGAATTGAAATTTAAAGCTTTGCCAGATGACGAAATGGCAATAGTTCAATTGATTGAAAAACATGAGGTACGTCTGAATAACATTTAATTTTTTTGACAAAACTTTATCTTCAACACAGTATTTAACATGTATTCACTTTGTTTCTTTTGCATAGAAATTCCAAGAAGAGTTGCGGAATCATCAGGAATGTATAGACAAAATCCGGGAATTAGCAGAGGAGATCTTACAGAATTGCCACCCTAATGCTATTAGATTTGTCAAATATTACCTCACTATTACACAGACTCGCTGGGATCAGGTAAACTGATGTACTTTAACTTGAAATATATCCATGTCTTATTTATAAAAGTTTTGTGAATTGTTGACAGTTTGTTTGTTATGGAGACTTAAAACAGCTTTAAGAAAATATTAAATTTCATCACCTTTTGTAAAACTATGAAAATTTATTATAGTACATTTACAATATGATGTAAAAACAATTTTAAAGTTCCAAAAATATTCTATTACAATTACATAATGACAAAAAATAAAAATCTTTAAAAGAAATTTAAAAATGAGATTTTTTTTTAAAATTCTCTGGTTTAGAGTAAAGTGAATTAACAGCAAATTAAAGAATGTTACCTCCTCTTTTCACAGCTCTTACAGAGAGCCAAGAACCAGGAGAAGCGTCTACAGGAGGAACTGAAGAACATTCAGGGTAACGCTGCCCTAGTGGAGGAACTGCTTGCCTGGTTAACGGACGCCCAAGTTCTACTGTCCACCAAAGAGAGGGACCCAATCCCAGACGATCTGAAGGTCGTGGAGGACCTCTATAAGGAACATCTGGTGAGTAGAAATGTTATAAATCTGTGAATATTTCCTTATAAAGATATGAGGAATAAATCTGCTATATTTTTTTTCTAAACAGCCCTACCATGTTATAGTTCTGTGCTATTTGCCCATGGTGAAATAGTCATCGACTATTCACCGGCAGCATTTCATTTCCCTCACGTTTCTTCTCAGAAGAATTCTGGTTTTACCCGGATTGTGATATGCGCCTCAGGAGATAGTTGCTGTCATGGGGGACAATAAACTTGCTATTGTCCTCATAGCCAGTAAATAGGTGTATAAATGTATCATTCACACCCCTTTTGTAGGTAAATGTATTCCCTAAGGAAGGTAGGGTTTAGTCTCATTTTCTTTGGGGAATGAAATGGGTTTCAGAATGGGACACATCTCGAAGTCTTTTGTAGGTAAAAAAAAATGTGTTTACCTACCGAGACATAATCTATATGTGTGGTAATGGAACCAATACAGTTGCGTGTTCCTTAAATGACATCCTTTAATCTGAATGATATATACGTGTCTGGTTAGTTGGTTTTCATTACACGGTGAAAAGAGATTTTTGAGAATAGATTAAAGTTTGCAAAATTTATTATCATATTATCCTTTATGTATTCTAGATTCACATCAAGATTGTACAATAATTAAATATTTAAAGTTCCTTTTTTTGGCTTTCTCGAATTGCATAATCTGTCTTGACTACACATGGATTCATATGACATGAAGTGAACAACTAAACAAAAAATATACTTTAAAAATGTTAAATTTCGTAATTTGCAAGATCAACTGATACCTAACAAAGAGATGCATTTGATAATTGAAATCAAGTAATTTCACCTCAGTAAGATAAACACCATTAGCTAAATTTAATAATGTTTTAGAGACTCTCTTACAAATGGGTATGTTTAAATGGTGCAAGGCCCTGAGTTTATGAGAGGATCTTTGTCATGATAACTTTAGACATTTATGCATTTCATCTCTAAATTCAGGAATTCCATGAAGAGGTCACTAGTAAAAATAATGACGTGGAGAGGTTAACAAAGATCCTGACACTAGAACCAAAATCTCCAGGACGTCATTATGGCAGGTAAGTGCCCCCCTTCCCCACCAAAAAAAGTTAAACCATCATATTACTGTACTTTCTCTTTAGACGCATGCTTATGCCCCCCTTTCCCACCAAAAAAAGTTAAACCATCATATTACTGTACTTTCTTTTTAGACGCATACTTATGCTCTCCAACAGAACGCATCACTTTTTACTGTGCGCAATGACGTCTATTTGCTTTCCACAAAAATACATGTACATCAATTTTAATCTCTGCAATTACATTCCTTTCTTGCAATCCACAGCAACATGCGACTGAATGATCTGGACGGTTACAACCCACGCGTGCTCACTCTACAGAACAAGTGGAGGACGGTATGGCGCATGTCTGTAGACCGGAAGAAAGCTTTACAAGATGCTCTAGACACTTTACAAGAGGTAAAAAGTCGACATTGTCACGGAAAATTTACATTATATCGGATATAGAATTAGATCTTTTCACTCCATGATCATTTCATTTTCATAGTTGGAGGGATTGAAGACCTTTGACTTCGAAGTCTGGAAGACAAAGTATTTGAACTGGATAAAGGCCAAGAAGTTACGAATAACTGATTTCTTCCGACGACAGGACAAGGATGGAGATGGCTTTTTATCTCGTGATGAATTTGTCAATGGAATGTTACAAACTCGTACGTCTACAGATAAAATTTTTGAGGCATTTTTAAATTTAAAAAAAAAATATCTATATTGGTAACTATGATAATCTAGCTATCCGAGAAAAACAATGCTCGCCAGGCTAAAAGAGCTGAAATTAATTAAAATTTCACGATACATCACATTCTACCAAAGATTTTCAATTCAATGTTTCTTCATGTATGGTAAATGTCGTTCTTATCTAGTAATAAAATAATTGCCTAGTCTTTTGAAAATAATAAAAGATATATTATACGAATACAGTATTGAAATGAGGGACTTACATTCCACATTAACTAGCTATTATTTGTATTAAGTGTTGATCTCAATTTTTTGCTTGAACTGAACCAAAAATAATGCTAGCATTTTCATTGCATGGACGTCATAAATAACACTCCACAGTAAAGTAAGCAAAAATATTTTTTCTAAGATACGGATTTTTTGCCAAAGAGAGCCTGGAAAATATCCATTTATAAAGTAAATGATAATGATGTAAATATTAAACCATGTATCTTTTATTTTTTTCAGATTTCCCGACAAATAAAACTGAGCTTCATGCTGTTTTTGACATGTTTGCAAAAACAAACAGACATTTCATAGAATATAAAGATTTTATTGAAGCCATGAAACCCGTTAGACATGTAAGTATTCTAACTTATCAACTAATAAATGGTAATTAATCTTTGTCATATTAGTAAAAATTGTTAATTTTTATTATAATTTTCAACAAATCTATATCTAGACTTCTGTTACAGCAAAAGACTCGATTGATGAGTGGAAAGAGGCAAATGACGGACGCGGAACTTATTCACGATGATATAGAAAAAGAAATCTCTCAATGTCAGTGCAGGAATCCATTCCGTGCGGAGATGATTGACGAAGGCAAATACAGAGTAAGGGAGACTATCTGTTCTATCAGAACTCATCTGACTCAAGTGAAATTTAAACTTTCAACCATTGTATGAAATGTTCAGTAATAAAGGGTTTTTGCACTTTGCAATATTTTAAGCTATTTTATTTCTCTTTCACTTTCTGCAACGCTATGAAAGGATAAGGGAATCAATAGGCCTAGATTTATTGTATATCAAGCAGGATGTCAAGTAAATATCTGCACCCCTTTTTCAAGATTTTGCACTTATGTTTGTGGTGGACATTTTTTGGGTGTTTGCATGTCATTCAGCTGTTACTTTGCTTCAGCAACTTTCTTAGTAAATTTATTCCATAATGCGTTTTGTGTATTTTTTTCCGTTTAGTTTGGAGAAAAACAGAACATTCGATTGGTGCGATTCTTGAACAGTACAGTGATGGTCCGTGTTGGAGGAGGATGGGTCACTTTGGATGAGTTCCTGGAAACCAATGACCCATGTCGAGGTAAAACTTTTAAAATAGTATGATGGAAGATTATCATTTTATCCACAAACCTTATTTGGACACACATTTTCGTTGACATTTATCTCTTGGAGTAAGAAGAATTTAAATTTATGATATTCATGTAATTCATTCTATCAATTTCGTTTTTTTATTGTATCGTATTCTGCTTCACCTTCCACGCTCTTTAAATATATATGTATATTTATTTGTGCACATTATGAAAACCAGAACACCAGATATAGTAATCTGACTCTGGTCGCGTACTATATATACACAGCCCGACTTTGGATGCTGGCTTTCTCTGTTTTCTGTTCAGCTTTCTATGTCTCTGTTTCTCAGGACACACCATATATACTTATTCGACCAATAGTAAGTAAGGTCTTTTAAAGGCTTGGGAATGAATCTCTACTTCCGGTCATCATGCACTAGGGCATTGGTGTAATAGGTGAAAGTGTTCAAGGGTCAACTAAAACAAACTCTACTACGGGCATGCTGGGTGTATGTTGTATGTATTCTAACATTTATTTATTATAGCTAAAGGAAGAACAAACTATGATCTTAGAGACACATTGTCACCAAACGGAAACTCAACTTTCCGGCCCCGCAGGGGCAGTGGAACATACGGGTATCGATCAAAATTAAACGACACCGGATATGCATCCTCTACGTCTTCAGGTATTACGAATCACGTGCAACACTTGGATTTCTTTAAGTCACAAACAATCCACTTTTGGAAGCAGTCACAGGATAGACAGCTTTTTGATGTTTTGCTAGAGCGTTGTGTTTATACGCATTTGCAGTGTCACCTTTATTTATCATGATCCAAAAACCAATACCAATATATATATATTTATACAATTTAATATTTTTTCTAACTTATCCAACATCTAAAAAGATTTTACTAATATCATTATATGAATTATTATGCATGCTTTAATTGAATCATACAGAATATTCAAACTAATAATTGTATTAATATGCATTTACATTGAAAATTCTCACTATACTTACAAGTTAAAAAACTGATTGTCTGATGATTTAAAGCTGAAGAAAACATGTTTGTGAATTGCAGTTGATAGTGCTAAATCAAGATAGATAGTGCTAGTTTCTTTGGAAAGATTATGTTTAAACATTGAAGACCTCGACCAAAAATTGGGGGGAAAAATCCATTAACACCACTCTCATCACACAATCATTATTCAAACACTAAAATGTGTTTTTATCATATAAGACTGGAACTCTTCGGGTTTTGGCATCATGAAAATGTATTTTTTATCGTAAAGTTTACAGTAAAACACAAAAGTCGTTTAAAAATATGAACACTCAAGAACAAAACCCGAGGAGATCAGAAAGGCCCCTAGGTAGTTTAAAGAGGGACACACAATTCACGTATCATTCTTTTATCAGCTGGCAGTTCCGGAGATAACTCGCTCAGAAGAAGTAGGGTGACGTCATCAATGGTAAATCTGTCGGGCACTGGTGGTGCCCCATCCCGGAACACAATGCGAAAATCTTCCGATTTTGGCGGTAGGTAGTCCGTATTGTGTGTCTACCAACGTCCACCGCTTCTCCAATGTGTTCGCCATTTTAAGTTCCCTCAAAAATATTTTGTAATGAGCTGAATCAAATATAATTGCATTTTGTTATATTTGGTGGATGGTTTACTAAGTTCTTTTGTTAACGCATGTTAAAATTTGAAAAAGTTTTATTTTTGCAAGCATTGGCACGCACCTTGTGTAATGTTTGTTGGGGAAGGACACTAACTTAATTTGAAAACAATACTTATCTGGATTTTGTTACACGAAAAACACTTTTATTGCGTAGAGCTATTCCAGTAACTGATTTAGTTATTTTGCTACGTAGACAGAAATTGGCTATATTTTATTTGTAATATATAATTTCTAATATATGTACGTATAGTTGGTATACTTCATGTTGTATTCTCTCGAATATTTATTTATATCAGACCATCAACAATAGTTATATTTTTTATTAATTCAGCATTTACATGTACATTGATCTCTGCTGAGCATAAATTTGTACTCTTTTTTTAGGATCACATGTGTATGACTGTTGTCATTGAAGATTCGTTGATATTTCGATTTAAATATTTTATAATTTTTTTCCATATTTAGGTTCAACGGGCAGTTTACAGAGAACTAAGCGTTTAAGTAATTCATCTTCTAATATAACGAACAACCAATCAAAGTCTCGCTTGCCGCCATCTACACCTACTAGGGGCATGAACTCTTCCTACAGCTCCCCTCGGACTTCACAATCCCCTTCGCCATACTCCCGCTCTAAAACTCCACAACCGACTCCCACATATGTGCCACGATCAAACACTCCTACTTCAAGGCCATCTACGGGCACTCCACGAACACCCATGACTCCTAAAACATCAACTCCAGTTCGATCAGGGAGGACAACTCCCACATATAGCGCTAGCGGAAGAGTCACTCCTTCCGGAAGAACCACGCCTTCAGGTCGGACAACACCAACTATGCAAAATGGTCAAAGTGCGAATACAATAAGACGTCTTCCATCAACACCAAAGGGTCCGAGATGATCCGAAAGTTAAAATTAGATCTTATGATATTATTTTTTACATATAGTTGTTCGATTTGCAAGATGTCAAGGTATACTATGTAATGAATCAGCGTCTAGATATTATGGTACTATAGAGCGTCATTACACGTACCTGTACAATCCTTTAAATGCGCGGTACGTAGTAAACCTTGTATTCATTGTCACTGTCTCCATTCCATATCAAGGGACCAATTCAACTCTACCAAGCTTTATAATACACACCATATGACAATGCTGTACATCTGAAGATCAAATATCTAAATTTCAGAGCAAATTTTGATTTACTAGTATTTTTTTGTATTTAGCATTTATTTAAATTGGGCTGCTCGTTATAAATGCAATTTCTTTGTTTTGAATCACAATTCTAATCAAAATTTCGTTGCTGAATTTAAGAGTATATTTTTCTATAAAGAAATCACACACACCAGCTTTTAACGTTGCATGAGAAATCACTAAAATTGATATTTTTATATGAAGAGAGATTGAATGTTTTTTTATTGTACATAAACTTTCATTTTCATTTGTCATCATCATTAATAATCTTATTATGCGAGTACACTTTAATCAGGGGGAGAGAGGAGTGAGTCTGTATATTTGTATGATATATCAGTGAATAAAGAATATCTTAAATATGAATATCATGGAGTTCTTTTTTCGTAATAATGTAATAAGCTGTATATAAAGTATTTATAAGGTAATCTGAGTCACTCGGGTGACTTACTGCTACTCCATGTAAATTGTTCTGGGGTGTGTGTTTTCCGTAATTTTTTGAATACTCTCGGTTTCTTTTCTGGAACAATACGTAAAGGGAGATAACAAATTTGAATTTTTGTCCTCCTCGGTGAGACCTGAGAAATGTTTTTTAAAAAAAAAAGTTATAATTATTGCATTTTTAAAAAAAATTCTTTACTCCCAGATATCTATACGGTACAGGCAAATTTTGAATGTTATGAGTCTTCTACACCAAAATTTTGAAATGCGTTAAGAGTGCAAAGGAAAGGCCTCGGTGTGGGGCTATAAATAAATCGTGTCTTCAAATGTATTTCTTTCTGTTCTATACTCTTGCAAACAATCGTAAGCTCTGACCAGTTGACAGGTAAGAAATGTTACATGCTCATATTTAATACAAACTTGCATTTAACTCTAGTGTCCATCATCTGAATTACAATCATTTGAACAAAATTTCTGTCGATGGAAGGAAAATTTTGTGCGTGTTTTTTGTATTTAGGGGGGGGGGGGGGGGTTCATTGCATTTGTGTTTAAGCGAAAATATAAATATCGTATTGGTTCAAGGAATGAGAGTTATGTTTCTTTGACAGAGGTTTTACATGGAATGCTTCATACTTTGATTCCTTGTTTCCCTGTTCACAGTATATTTAAGGAAAGATCAAGTAACTGAGTTAACACTGTGCTGCTAGATCCATTTTGACGTCATAATTATTTCCATGTCTTTTACGGCTTAGTTGAATTATGTAGAAAAAAGCATTTTCGTGGCATTCATTTGAAACAGTGTAAAAATCCTTTGTTCGATTTTATGAGGGTAAGAACATATAATTTACCCTTTTTTCTGAAAGAATGACGTTAATCTAGACTCCTTTCATTTATCTGATATGAAAATTATGGCCTGATACACGTTCTTTAACCAACCAATACTTCCCTTGGGTACCGATAATTTTAACCTTGACTTTAAGTTTGACCTATTTTTAAGAAACTTTAACCTTTGCCGTAACTTTTGAATGCTTGGTGCCACTCTCTACCATCGGCTCATACATTCACCTCTGTCGTTGGCTCGCATATATCACAGTGATAAGCACGAGAAATAGTGCGTTTGTTTTAATTCATTATAAGTATATGTCTGCGTTAATGATAGTCCTTAGAGATCAATATATACTAAATAGATCTAAAACAATTAGTTTAATTTGAAATAACCCTTGAAATGTTATGTATTTTACGTTATGTCAAAAATCTTTACGCGAGCCGATTGCAGAGGTGTCTAAAAGAGAGGAACGAACGACAACTCTGTATAGGAGATTGGCTTGGTGCTAGGGCTTTTATATTTCACTTGTGTATTCCTTGTGACAAGTCCTTCCCTATGGTACCAACCTTTGACCTTGGAGTTTGACTTACTTTTGAAAAAAATTAACCTTGGCCATAATAGTTGGTGCCAGGGCTTTCATAATTCACATGTATTTTCCTTGTGACAAAACCTTCCCTTGGCTACCAACAATTTTGATTTGTTTACCCTGACCTAGGGAGTTTGACTTGCATGTTTGAATCTTTAACCCTCGCCATGAACTGCCAAACGGGGAAATCAGTGTTTCACAAACACATCTTGTTTTGATTTTGTATTTAGCTTTATGATAAATTTGATTGTTTGTTATAATGCAATTATTTTTTTCTAAATCTTAATTAAATCATAATTCTAATCAAAATTTTGTTGCTGAAATTTAAGAGTATACATTTGTATTTTAAAAAACAAAACAAAACTCATGCACCATCTTTTCACGTTGTTCGAGAAATGAAGCATATTAACTAGAAATTGATACATGTATTTTTACATGAGAGATCGAATGATTTTTTTTTAATTGTACATAAATTATCATTTTTATTTGCCATAGCATCATTATAATTTTATTCTTTTGTCAGGGGGACAGAGTAGTCAGTCTGTTTATTTGTATGCCTCAACAGCGAATAAAGAATTCTAATATCTTTAATATTTTAATATGCGGTATATTTTATTAATGTAAAAATGACTATAAATTGCATATTTATTTCACGTATATTTCACGTAATATAAGTTCAATAACTTTATTATATAGCTAAAACATCTCTCATTGTTTATATTAATTATTTCAATTAAATTTCCAAATTAATAAGAATTAAATTTTCAGTATCTGTATGTAAATTGACGTCTGTCCTGTAAGTGTTCAATATCGCATCATTCCAATGGCCCTACCAAGCGTTATGATTTGCTTATTGAGGTTTTATTGACACTAATACGTACTAAGTTTTTAATTAATAATTTCATTTTTTATGTGAAAATAGACACATCTTACCTAGCTACCACTACCTATCATAAACATGACCGTAGGAACCGGGGGGAGGGGGCACGGGGAGGCCGTGCCCCCCCATAATTTTGCCGATATATAGATTACTATAGTAAACATAGATACTATACGCTTGTGCCCCCTCAATAAAAACGTCAGATTACCTTTTTTTTTTTTTTTTTTGCTTGTCAGGAAATTTTTGGTAGTGCCCCCTCAAATATCAACTGAAAAATGTATGGCTGTCCCCCCCCCCCTTCCCCCAAACTGAAATTGCTTCCTACGTGCCAGATAAATTTGCCTTAAATTTGCAAGGTTGACCAGACGACATTTTTTGCTTACAACGGGGCGTTCGATATTGAACGCTCGTATTTATTAGCTATATAAAAAATGATCTTACCGGAAGATTTGTTTCTTCACCCCTTGATATCTATGTGTAACAGACAGACTGTCTGAAGGTTAATTAATGAATAAATGAACTTTCTACACGAAAACTTTGAAATTCAAGACCTGTGACGCAAAGGTAAGGCCTCAGGGTGAGGCTTAGTAAATCTTATATTGCAATTGTATATTATTTCTTAAAAAATTCCGTTCTTTACTCCTGTAATCATGAATCATAATCTCTGAATAATTGATCGATATGAAATGTAGAAACGTTATATGCTTTTAGATAATACAAATATGCTAACGACTCGAGCGTTCCTTGTATGATATACTCAAATTATATGTCACTGGAATGAAAAATTCGAGATTCTTTCTTTTTAATAACGAAGATATATTCGAAGGATATTCAATAAATATTGCATTTCACGTATCACAGTATCCAGATGGATGCAGAAATTCAGAAGTAGAAAAGGTAGTGTTTAAAAATGGCAGTCATCATGATCAATCGAGATGTGTAGTGACATAGAAAAAAATGGAGATGTTTTGAGGAACAAGATGTCTGAAGAATGATAGATATTATAGGATAAATTTTTATCCGGGGCAGTTCATAGGATTTTGACAAAAGAAAATGAATCTGAAGAAAAATGCTCACAGATCGGTTCCTCGGCTGCTTTTTGTGTTATTCTTATCTGCCTTATTTATTGAATTCCCACGTAAAAATGTCGTATTTGGTTCGATGAATGGGAGTTACGTTTCTTTGAAGAGGTTTTTACATGGATTGCTGAATAGTTTTTAAAACCACATACTTTGCCCTTAAATTTGTGAACACATTTACTGACAATGTTACATTATTCAACTTAGAAATTTTTGTTAATTTACTTTTACCTCCATCCGAGGCACTTTCTTCAGATAATTTTTTACCCTAGTATAATATTTAATAACACAAAGTATCTTACATTCTTACTCCGAATTCCATGGAGTATTCCCCGCTTCTCAGAATCCCAGTCAGTTACCCCTTTATAGAAAACGCACTAACGAACAATCTTCTACGATAGTTTATCATGGCTGTCGCGTCTTCGTTTTCTTTTATCTTCGTAAAGAAATCTGCTCGCCGACTTTTTTTGTTTCCTGTACTCTTAAAATGTACGATCAAGAGACGAACAATATTCGAAAAGTCTGTGAAGAATATAATATGTAATAGAATTCTGTATATTTATGGAATCCCAGACAGAGAGAAATGGTTTGACTTTAGCGTCGATACTCATTATTTCATTGAAAAAATGATTGAAAAAAGATAGTAACAAAGCTGTAATACATGTTATAATGCTGCTTTAAAATGAGGTAAACTTGTAACTGTAATTTACGACATGTTTTAGCATTAAGAATTTAATATCAGTAGTATAGGAGGAGTAATAGATAAGAGATGGGTACCCCCAAGTGTTATGGACGTACGGGCGGAACGAAGTACACCTCCTTCACTATATACCCCCGCTATTCAAGTGGGGGGTATAATAAAACTACGTACATGTACAAAGATTCTTCGTTCTGATATACGTATATTGTTGTTATAAGAAATGTTTATTTACTATGTTGATTCCCTGCTGCATTTTGATACAATACTCTCAGTACAACAAGAACCAACATAGAGAATAATGAAAGCAACACTTGTTCTGATAAATTCTAATGTGCAGAATATGCATGCTTAAGTACCTTAATGATAATAATGATAAAAATAACCGACGATACATATTTGAAATCAAGTTGCAAAAGCTTACATAGCATTTTTTTTTATTTAGAAAGTTTCATACAAGTGGCAATTTTGTTACTTCATGCAGACAATTTTAACTTGTAACTGACCCAAGAAGAATATCCGTTTTTAATCTTAAAAATACTTTAGAAAGGGACGTCTACGTATATAGTTAAGCTTTAATGTAAGAAAATATTTAAAAATGGTTAACCAATAATTTGTATTTAAATCAAGCGACCCGAATATTAACCAAAACAATTTGCCTGTAGATATACATGTAAATCTTGTTTTTGTAATGCATACGTTACTAGATTTAACTTTGGTCCGTTTCACAGAAGTATCAAATATCGGAGCTGATGGATTACCAAAAATAAAAACAAAAATGAAACAAAGGTCACCTGAAGCTAAATCCTACTATTTTTATCAACTCTTAAAATTTATATAAAAATCTGTGTCAAAAG